ACCATTTGTACAATTTTGAATCCCTGCATCCCATGAATGCTTTTGATTAAATATGATTGATATCCAGTGCATAGTTCTACAGAAGTCGTTTGTAGAAATATAGCCAAATTACCCCTTTTTAGCCGCGCCCCTCAGCCCCCTGGGGAGTCAGCCCAACCATTTGTACAATTTTGAATCTCCACCACCTAGGGATGCTTCCAGTCAAATATGGTTGATATCCATCTCTTAGTTCCAGAGAAGAAGTCGCTTAAAGCAATATAGCCAAATTGCCCCCCTTTTGCCCCGCCCCTCAGCCCCTGGGGGGTCAGCCCCACCATCTGTACAATTTTGAATCCCCACCACCTAGGGATGCTTCCAGTCAAATTTAGTTAAATTCCAATAAGTGGTTAAGAAGAAGAAGTCGTTTAAAGAAATTGTTGATGGACGACCGACGGACGCCACGGTATGGCATAAGCTCACCTTGGTCCTTCGGACCCGGTGAGCTAATAAATGTCAACGGTTGAGTCTTAAATAAATGTCAACATTTTAACAGTTGGCCGAAAGAAAAAATAAATGTGTTACAAAAAAGTAGAGCTATATAATATTGCATATATCATGTACTAGCCCTAGGGAAGATTCTTCCAGCCAGACCAATACTTTCATAGTAAATATATAAATACTTTAACACTTGCTCTGACATAGAAATTACTAGTGCAACCAGCAGATGTATTTTGTAGCTGGCCTAGACACTCTTTAACATTTCCCCCCCAAAACAGGATAACAAACCTCATGTTCCATCCAGCATAATGTACCAAGTACTGCACCTGTGAACTGTCCAGACCAGCTTCTACCACCTGTAACAGTGACATTTGATTCATCAAAGCAAGAATACATGATGCTTGTATGCAATATGTAAATAAATTCAAAACATTTTGAATATTTCCTTTGTTTTAACAAACAAATCTGAATTCAAAATGCTGATGACTTTTTAAAGAAATGTTTATGTAGATATAGAGTATGAAGTATTAGGTGTAAATTGTCAGACCCACCATAGTGAAATGACCTATTACGACATCTGGGCCCATATTCATCAACTGATCTCATGCTCAAGCATGGATTTTGTGCTCAAGCCTAAGTTCTTGTTCCGGTTATAAATAAGTTATAAAATCTTATTTTGTCATTGATTTGGAAAACATTCAAAGCAACTGAAAGCCAAATACTGTTTTCAATGTTTACACTGGACTTTGATCCTTTGACATTATTAAAGTGAGTCACAAGAAAGTTGGTTTGAGCACAAAATCCATGCTTGAGTATGAATACTTGCCAAGGAGACAAAAATAGCCATACAAATATTTACTGAAGATTTAGGTTTTATATGAATTAAACTGTATGTATTGTAAAAACAGTTTACAGAGTTTTAGTATCTGACGTTTATGTTTATCAGAAAGTTATATGAAGTTATATCATACCTTAGCATCATACACCTTTTGATTCCTGCCTCGTCCGTAGCGAACCTGGAGCCTAGTACCATTGGCAAATTCAGCATTTATATCAGCTCTGCTTTCCATATCTGCTGGCCTAGAAAACCCCCAGATATCAGGTTAAGAAGCAGAAACACACTTTTACATGGTTAAGAATGCCGACTCATTGATTTCAGAGTATATAACACCATATTTTTTAATTTTCCCCTCAATTGGTACAGATTTCAACCATCTAATGAAATTAATGTAAATGTACTAATTCCATAAAGATTTATTTTGAAGAAACACTTATTACTGTTCTTTATAATTGACATGAATCCTTGTGTTGCAGATTATCTTTTCCATGAACGTTTTGCTTACCTCTTTCTCTAAATATTCAGAATTAACAGCACAAGTTGTATACAGAAAACAGCTTTCTGTACACTCCCCCTCCGGAACACTATACAATAAATATACATTCACCTTCATTTTCTAGTGTCAACAGTCCACTGAATTAGTTTTTGAAATGAAACACTTTAAGTTGCCTGCGACTCAGGTGACCTTAAAAAGCAAATTGATCAACAGGTTTTAAGTGATAAACATATAAATATGTATGAACCTGATAGCATGACGACTTTTTCAGATCAAATTATAATCTGAAATACTTTGTAGTTTCCCTTCCCCATGAACTTACCATTTGGTGTCGGATTCAGACTCATCTCCATCTTCTTCCTTATCCTTGTCGTCATCTACTTGAGTTTTCTCTGTCCTGACTTCCCTTATTTCTTTCTTGGGTCCAACAGGGCTTCCTTCACTATCCTGCTCCTCTTTCTTGGTAACTTCTTTCTTCTGTGTTCCTTTTGGCTTCTCGGACTCGCTTCCCTCAGACTTATCTTCCTCTACCTTAGTTTTCTTTCCATCTTTCTTCACTACCTTAGGTTTATCAATTTCCATTGGTTCCTCTTCTGATTTAACAGCTTTCTTCAGTTCTTTTCTTGTTATTTTCACTTCTTTTTTGTCCTCTTTCTTTTCCTCCTTTTTGTCTTTCTTTTCATCTTTGATAACAGGTTTAGCTTTTGGTTTAGTTTCTTTCTCAACAGGCTTCTCTTTCTTGATTTCTTCCTCCTTGCAACTTTCTTCCTCTCCTTTGGAGTCGGTGTCTTTCTCGTCTTTTCTCATAGAACGTCTACGCACAACCTATTGGAAGAAAACAGCATCAAGAACTTATTGCATGTCTGAAATCAATTCCAAGTTTAAACACCAAGATACAAAGTTGGGCTGGTAGAAGAAAAAAAACTGGGTACTTAATAAATGGAATTATTTCCAGATTCACAGGGTCCCTTAGTATAGTTTGAATGTCAATCACAAATTCAATAGAGTCCTTTCAGTTTTTATGCTTCAAAAAAAATGAAATGGTTTGTTTTAAACAATATAATATACAAACCTTTTTCTCTTGTGCAACTTTCTCTTTCACTTTTTCTTTCTCTTTTTCTTCGTTTGCCTTTTCCTTCAGCTGTTCTGCTAACATCTCTTTCCTAGCTTTCTTTTCTTCTTCCTTTTCCTTTTTAACCGCCTTAGCTGTCTTCTTAGCACTATCAGGGTCCTTCTTCAAGGGTTCCTTTTTCGTGGTTTTCTTAGGCGTTGACTCATCTTTTTCTACCTTTTTCTCCTTTACTTCTTCTTTCTTTACTTTTTCCTCTGACTTTGGTGTTGCTTCATGTCTCATAGTTCGCTTTATGGGTGAGCGCTCCCTTTTAGCCATCGCCTCCTGGACTTCTTTGCCCTCTGTCTCTCCAGTATCAGATTCTGTCTTTTCTTCAGCCTCCTTAAATTATATATGGGTATGGTCAGTTCCTGTTTTGTATTAATTTATAGCTGAAACATTTAACCCTTTCAAGTTTCCTTTAGTAATTTCCAAAATTATATTGTTGCAGTTTTGGAAGAACACTCACAGAGAACATCTTGTTTTGTCTCTATTATCTATAATCTGTTGAAAGATTGTATCACATAACACTTTACTTCTCCTACAGATTAAGTGTGACTGATGAATTCTTGATTAAGAAATAAGTACTAGTTATACTGCAAGCTTAGATTGTATTCATAAAAAGATATTCTTCCAACAGTATTACATTTATTGAATAATTGAAATAATGTGACGACCCCCCCCCCCCAATTTAACTATATTTTGTCATAAAAAAGTAACCTTTACCTCTTCTTTCTTTGGTGGTGGATCTTTTCCCTTCTTATCAGATTCTTTCTTGAAAGGTACATGCATTCCCCTTCCTGAGTGACTCCTACTCCTCCCCGGACGGCTGATTGTCCCCATAGAACTGCCAAGCTTACGATAAAAATCCTCAAATGCATGAAGGTACTTCTTGTATGCAGTCTTTATTTGATGTGATGCTGTGTTTGAAGGGGGTAGACTCATCTTTGCGTATACACCGCGCCACTTCAATTGGTTTGTTACCTGATAAAAATCAATTTTCCATCCAATACTATATATACTAATATTTATTGGGTTGGAAAGTATAAGGCTCGTATACCTTTTTCTGATAGGCAAAAAAAGGTAGCACAAATTCTGACCAAAAAATATTATCAAGTAATTATCCTTTTGAAAAACAACAAACTTAATAAGTTTATATACAAATCATTACATAGACACAGCACAATACAATGATGACACATACTTCATATCCTAAACTTTCTGAGCAACAAAGATTGACATATTGTTTTTATTTATTTGCAATATTATAGCACAGAAACTAAACAACAAGATATTAAGATATGTGATACAATGTTAACATACCTTATTGTATCCACCAATGTTCTGCACTACTTTAAACAGTTTATACAAATTCAGGTCCTTATTTCCAAGGGTAGGTCCTTTGTTGATTGGGGTACCTATTGGAATAATTTTTCATGACAAGACTTACGAATTGTGAAGCAACAATAATATGGCTAAATTTTAATATTAATTGTACCTTCAGTCATCAACGTTGTAAGAAGATAATTTTAAAAAATAATATTATAATTAACACAGCTTGTTTTATATCCTAACCCTTACGTAAACTGTCAGGTTTGTTTACATTTCATCCTGCAAAACACAAGAGGAAGGAATTTAATAGATAAAGTGTGGTGCATGAAAGAACTTATATTAATTTCAACTTGTTATCTGTTGAACATCTCAAAACATTTCATGGATTAATTTCAAATTAATCTGTGTCAGAAAAAAAAATAAACCTCTTCAATGAAAATATTTATATAGTATTTATATGTTGGTTGATTTTCTGTATCTTACCTCTGTCATCCATAAACTTGTACAACTGGGCTACAAATCTGTCCTTCTCCTCACTTGGTTCATCATCAGAGGACTATAAATAGATTTAAGAATGCAGATTGATTTAAAATAGATTGTTTGGAGCTGAAAACACTCGAGTTCATTCTACTTTTGCCAATAAGTGTAACATTTCAAGATTTTAGCTTCCAACATTTATTTGAACAACAAACGATTTTTCATACTTATTGCCTTTTTCAGACATAAAATACTTTAAGACTTAAAACATAAATTAAACAAGGCAACAAATATAGTACCTCTTCATCATCTGTGATTTCTTCTTCATCTGTACCAAGTAGCTCATCTCTTTCCCACGAAGAAGGCAGATCTTGGTTATCATAGTAGGCAATGCATTTCTCAAATGCTATTAAATGAAAGGAAAAAGACCGAACATAAAAACTTTGGTCAAAATGAAAACGGTTACAATTCATTATGTATCGATTGTATTTGTGTATTTCATTGGTACTATTTTTAATTTACCTGCATATATTCAGCATTTTTTTCCATTATGCGACTGATTTTCGACATCAAGAAATAAATATTAAGTACTGAAGTTTTCCCTTTTTAACCATTATTTTGCAATATAAAATGAAAAATGGTTTTAAGTAATCCCATATGCTTAGCAGCGAAACCCAATGATCAAACGTACTTACCTGCTTTCAAAGTTTTATCTTCATTTTTCTGCACAGTATCCTTGGAAAACTCCTTCATGTCTTTACGAGCAATTGAATAGCTGTAAGAAAATGAATTCTTAAAATGATATCTTTTTAAGATAAGAGTACAGAAAAACATGGCTTTATAACAATAACTTAACAACTGTATTTGATACTTCTCTGGTATAGTTCTTGAAAATTATCTTAAACAAAAGTTAGTTTAAGATATTTTTCCAGAATACATGATATTTTAGTAAAATTACTTACAATTTTCCATCTTTGAAAGATTTGATGAGGAGATGATCCTTGGTGCGTAGTTCAGTGGAGTGGGCATCAGGCAGCACAACAAGGACAGGGACCTGTTGTTTACGCTTGTCTCCCATCTCAGTCAGCATCACCCTCCCTACCATGTTCTGTAATCTGCCCTTGTACACAGGACGTTTAGGGATACTCTCATCAGAACTGGTGTCTTCTTCCTCATCATTCCTGATGCAAAACAAAACATTAACATGTTAACATGGTAGGCTACAAATGCAGCTAACACAAATTAATGAATTGTTTTTAACATAAGTAATTTGGCTCAGGAAAATGACACAAAATTTTAAAACTTATGCACAAATGTACCTGAATTTTCAGATGAATTGTATTAAAATACAGAACAGCAGATCAGAAACAAAAATATCTTCCAGAGTATTCATACATTGTACTAAGTGATATTGACCTAAACATGAGTACTTTGAAATGCAAACCTGTTCTAGGTATTTAAGTGATAAATAAGTAAAAATAGAGTTAAGAACAAATCTAAAGTTACAGAAAAATTTAATGTATATATATATTTTGTGAAAAACCATGAACATGACATATTTGTAACACTGTATAAAATTATCTTGCAATGTGTGGATGAATGGTAATATAGCTAACAGTTCCTATGAAATTTGATCAAAATCCTTCCACAAATGATGTCATTAGAGCATTCTCTAAATAATCACAACGACCTTGACCCCCTAAAACACAAACAAACTTCTCATACTTTCCTCATATATGAAGTTTGATTGAGATGATCTTTTCACAAATAAATTCACTAGAGCAAGGTGAGCATTAATGTTGTTGTTTTGTAGGTGTTCAAACTTTCTTTAATATAAACAGGCTGGGCTTGATGTTTAGTGTAGGAGATATTGACACACAGAGAGGCAAACTTACACAAAGTATCATAGTTCTTAATAATTGAATGATATTTTACCACTTTCTAACAAGGTAGTGGTGGTACAGTAGTGAAAACTGAATGAAGTGATTAACAAGTTCGTATAAGTAAGTTAAACAATGGAGTATTCAAGATTTTATGTAATTGGGCAAAAATTCATTTTGAGAATAACAGACATACCCCATGCTATGCCTTCCTCCACGTTTGGCCTTCTTGCTGCTCATCACAGGAGTTCCGAAGTGCTCAGGATGAGACAGGGGAAGATTGTCCAGGGTCTTGAATAGCAAGGTTGTACAATTGTATATTTAAAGTAAAAGTACATTTCTGACCTATATACCTACAAGCCAAAGGCATCGACTAGAGGATATGTCCTGTATGTATTCGTATGATGTAAGTCATTGTGAGGACATTATAACTACCAAACAAACTAGTGGAATTGTACATCTCTGAATAAATAAGCAGTTTACCTTTGACAGACTATCACAATATCAAAATAAAGTAAATGTGTGTTTTTTTCACATGATTAATAAAGATAGCATGAATCGTATTTGAAGAACTTTTTTCGAGTTTTGTATGCAACAGGAAAATTGATAAAGACTACATTCATATTTATCCAAGATTGTCCCCAAAATGATAGGTTATCTATTATTTATTTCAAGAAAGTTATGTACATAGAAGAACTTGACTTAAATTTGGCAAGTTAAAACAGCTGATGGCTGTCAAAGAAGGTTTTTTTACCTTTTCATAAAAGGCATGACAAAATATTAGAATCAAAATTAAGACATACCTCACTCTCAATGAAATGCTTCTCGCCTTTCAAACACAGCTGTGTTCTTCTGAGTGTTTTCTCATCACCATCATCAAACACTTCAAGTAAAAATAGAAAAATATGTTATTTTATAATTTAAGACTACTTGCAGGACAAAAGATGATGCAATACATTGTTGTCATTAGAGAATCAAAGCCATCAACAAGAAAGCCTTGATAAATCAATCTTGTTCCCTGATACATACCGACAGTATACATGCTGGTGTCTGTTAGTCGATTGATGACACCCTCAGTTAACATGCCTGTCTCCGGATTTTTAACTTCCACTGTAGACCCATTCTGTAAAACAAAAAGGAAAACTATAGTTTCTATTCCTTTAACACTAAACAATATGCTCATAGAACACAAACTTAAAATGATTAAAGAAAACAGATTTATTACTGAAATGCTTTCCTAACCCTTGTGGTCTAGCGACATTTTGATAGCAGGAAATCAATCTAATCACACTAAAATTTGTATCCGATGACTGGACCAGAAATTCAGGTTTTTAGTTTTAAATATTATTCAACACATTTTTCTTTGTATTTTCTATTTTATATATCTTTTATTTATTCAAATATTATTCTGGCATTTACACACTGTAAAATAATTGCAGGGTTTTATAAAATTTTGGTATGAAAAATGATTTTTTTTCACATATCTCCAGAATTGTCTCAGTTATATAATTAAGGATATGATGAATTAGATTTTGTTATATGTATTTTTAGAAACATTGACAATTCCTTGTACAGATTACATAGGCCTATCCTCGTAAGATTAAAGACCACTAGTGGCTAAGTATGATTATATAAACAATTTGATTAGGGTTCGGATGCAACCACATTTAAAATATTTTAGGATTACTTTAGATTATTTGTAAACATATTTTTCAAATTTCACAGAAAGCAGTCATTATTACTATGTGCTCAGCAATGTGAGATCTGTGCTATGAACACTTCCTTCCTTGACAAAAATCTCATGTTATCCCTCATTTGAGTAATAGAATGAGGGAGAGCTCCCTCATTGGAGGTTTAAGAGGTTGACCCCTGTGTTAGCAATAGCACTTCAAGATCTTCAGCTCTTAATTTTACAAAATTCATTGCAAAGTTGACCAAAATTTTGCATTCTGAAATTTGCTGTAAATGCATCACAGAAGAGCTTCACATTTTCATTTTTTGGGTTATGAGTCATGAAATTGAATTATTTTTTAAGTGGTGAAAAAAAACTTTGTTTGAATAAAAGAAAAACAAAATCCAACTGAAAAGATACAGGTATCCCCGATAACATTGCAAAGGAACACTAAGTACCAAATATTCATATCACCATAAGACTTCCAATCAAGTGACTGATATCGACTGATGATCGATCAAATTGAACTTGATTTCAATAACTTCAGGTTATATTCGCTATCCGAAATCCACTTTCACTTTTGCTAATGGGGAAACCCGCTAGAATATTTCGCTAAAAACACACACCATTCATACAAAAACATTAAGTTTGTTGACAGAACCTTATAATTATTGAAAAATATGTATTTGGAAATGAAATTGATGATGTTTGCAATGTCAATTATGCTGTGACAGCTTCATCTTGTATTCAGAAATGCTGCAATGGATTGGTTTTCACCTGATGACACCCTGTCAATCTTAACATTTTATTTGTAAGATAGCCCACACTTTCGACTTATTTATATTTTGGATATATCCAGCTAAGGACAAACAATACCTTCCAAATGTTTAAATCAGTAGCCCCCGGATGATCATAGAGTTTAAAACTCCGGAATTTCCTGGTTTGCCATATTGTCACGCACTGACTGAGCCATGCAGCATTTCTATTGAAACGCAAGTTCTGATTGGGTGTCGGGTGGACCGGCAAACCAATCAGCGTCGTCATTGTGCTAGATGTTCGGTCAAGTTGTTTTGCCCAAGAACGAACAACTCGCTGTCGGCGGTAATAACAGTATCCAAGTTTATTTTTTGTTAATACTTAAATTAGTCACACTATAATCGATCATGGAAAACAATGATCGATTAATCAATTTTCAGAAACAAACAACCAGACGCCGACTAAATCGATTAACACTACTTATTAAATTAGAACATTGATACACTCTCGATGTACACAACTGTAAATATCCTCCAAAATCATCAAATTTTAAATAGATTAGTCCTTTGGATTCTGTGATAATCTCAAGGAATGAAAAGAGTAGACAGACAGAGAGACACCATGATGACTATAGGGCAGTGGGAGGTGTGGGACTCTAATAAAGCCTTCCTTGAAAAAGGTTAGATTTATATAATTGATGCCAAAATAACCATGTTTACCTTCAAGACACCTTTCACTCCATCATCAGTGATAATTAGAGATGACTGTGTTTCCTTCAAAAATACCTGAAAAACAGTTAATTAACATGAGTTTACAAATTAAGAATTACCTGCAATCATAAATGGGTGAATGGTGATGCTGAAGGTTATATCAAATAGGAACAAGGAGGTGTAATCACAACACTGCCAGACATATAAAGGTAACAGTGCTTCATTAAGTTTAACATATTATAAATGACATCTGGTTTTGCTGTAGGGAGGTTATATCAAAGATACTCTCTTGCTGAGAAATCATTTTTCTGAATATAAATTGATATTTTTCACGAATTTAATGATAATTAAAAATGTCAGTATATTCAACAAACAATTCCTTAATTTTATAGGCCATAGTTTTATTTTAATGTTACTTTTGCTTCATTTATTTATAAGAACAACATCAAGCTTACCTTGCACTTAACACTTTTCACCAACTTCTTTACTTTTGCTTCACAAAAGGCTCCTCGATACTTCGCACTTACTTCAGTTCCTACCACCAGGAACGGGGGATCATCCCCAGCCTAAAAACACAAGACATCAATTACAACTATAGTAGGTCAGCGTCAATAGTAAGGGCTGTCAAATAATCCTTGAGAGTATGTTTCTGGCTCCCCCAAATTACCTTTGACCTCTGGGTTTGAAAGACGTCTATATGACATATGTCGATCCCAAAATTTTCGAGAAATTATTTTTTGACTTCCGAAATTACTAACATTGATGCATAATTACCAACAATACATCTCCAGCACACACACAGGCATACACACATAGGGAGATATTTGCCATGTGGCATAGGACTAGTAGTTAGCGCCTGATAAGGCAGCTCCTGCGAATTCCTCAATATTGTATTGATTAATATATAGGCTAATTGTATTGACTGTATAAAATTGTATATCTATGTACTGTGAAGCGCTTTAGAGTGGCTTATGTTAGCTAGATAGGGCACTATATCAAATGTTGTATATTATTATTATTATTATTTACAATATATATCTATACCATTAAGTCTGTAGTGTTGTAAAGTGTATCTTATATATGTGTTGCACTTAATCATATTGCTGAACAGTGAAGTTTAAGACCAATGAAAATTGATAAAAAAAAACCTGAATTCTCCGATAATAACAGTGATTTCAACTTCTGATATTTATTGATAAAAAAAATCATTTTATGAACAAACTTGGGACTAAATAGACTTTTTTTCAAACTGATTCACAGGATTCTGTAATTCATAGGACCCTTTAGCATTATCAACATCTATCAATGCCACTAATCAATTTCTGGCATGGTTCCTGATATGAAATTTTGAGGTTTTTATCTGAATGATTTGGGATACAACAACGTTAATTGAAGATTCTTCATATTCTATTGTTGTTGACCTAAGAGATGGTGGGTTTTCCTGTCAGAGTCATTTAAATTGGAATTGTGACTGTCTTGGAAAACTCCCTAACTTATATGGTATGGCACATAGTGAATGTGTCATTTGGTACCAAGAGCGCTTTAGATCAGTAGAATACATTGAATCCACACATTTACTTGATATTCCGCTCACATTTGAGTATGCAGCGACATCCATGAATGCTATACAAACTCATAATGCACATATTTGTGAGTTATATCCTGTTGAACAATCAACATGGTTGTCACTAAGTAAAATGTTTTCTTTTTGGTGCAGTTACTGATTTCTTTGATGACAACTCATCTCATCATACAATTTACACGATTTTATGCCATAAGTACACACCCATTTCAGACTTAAAACCACATACATCAAAACTCATAGATTTTTATTATTCATCATTCATGAAAGTATATCCAGTACATCTTGTGTACGAATTTACTTGGAAAACTATAATAAGGTAATCTTCACATCATGTAAGCCTCAAACTCATTAACAAAATCTTTGGTGACAGTGCCCAACTGCCATCATGCCTTATAAGGATATGGCATTTAACAAGTGCATATACTCTTTACTGTATAACAGCCTGTACAACACTAACCACCAGATACTACAAATTTACCTATATATTTTGACAAAACACACATTTGACATGATTATATGCACTGAAACTGGTTGAGCACGGCTGTTATTTTTGACAAGGCTGCCAGTCAGCAGGCCAACCTAGTTAAGGCTACATTGTAACTGATTGGCGTTCATGACATTGTGAACAAGTTGATATTAAAATCAAATGGTCCAGTATGTTATCGCTTCAACGTTTCAGACTTATAAATGTCAGACGGCGCAGTGCAGCTAGCAGTTGCAGCACTCGATCCGCTGTGGAGGTCACTGGGCTACGACAACCGGCGGATCTGCAAGGTTGTTTACATCGGTGCATCCCAGCTGCCATAATGTCGACCAAGACAAAACTGCTGACAGGCCCATGATGTTACATGACCAGACAGACCAAACATTAAGTCAGATAACAGCAAATTATGTTCACATATTAAAGTTAAGAATACATGGATGAAGAATGACTTATTTTACAATGAGTTGGCACAACTGCCAGGATAATATCAATCAAACAAGACTTGTTCGTGGATTACAAGAACCATTACTGACGCGCCTAAACCGACAGTCGATCGAAACCACAACAGAGGCAAATTATAAAGACTTACCATCTTGATTTTTTTATGGAAACCCCTCAAGGTTCAGGACACCCTTTCTGAAAAATGATATCCAACCAGATCCTTTCGGCTTTCGATATATTTCAATCAACAAGTTCGGGTAGTAGGCCTACCGTCATCGTCGGCGATTCACTATCAACCACGGCTGAACAACAACTTGTCATCGGAAAATTCTGTAATACCATTGGTTGATTATCACGTGGGCGAGGAAAATTACCCATACTTCCGTGGGTGCGCATGCGCTGTCAGCCATACAATGGCGGAAACACATGATTCAACAGTGGGAGCACATGCAACAAACAGTCCAATTTTAACCCACAATTCCGAAATGTTCACATGTAATCATCTAAAATCTATTTCTTTATTGTTCATTTATTCATATAGGCTAAAAACCACGTATGCAGCGCTCCGAATTAAAGAGTGATTGCCGTTGCTCCATTGATGACATTTGGAAAATTGTCTGCGAAAACAACATCCGGGGAGTTCATGTTAAATAGCTGACAGGGGGCGCTTCCGAATAAATGTCAATAACATAGGATATAGAAGAAAAAAAATAACAATTAAACGTTTTTCCGCTAGTCAAATAAAAAAAGTTCATCGCACGTTATGCTTATGTACACATTCAAAGTATTTTTTTGAAAATTTATTTCGTAAAATTGGAAATGCATATCAACATCAAAGTCGGGATACCTATTTGTGAAAGTGAAAGTAGGATATTTCTAGACTTGCACATGCTCGAAATTCTTCCAAATAGACTAAATACTATCTTTACGAAATATGTCCTGCACAAAATAGTAAATCACTAGGACTCTTTGCTTAAGGTTGAACTAGATTAAACTCTTTAAAAAAAACACCACACTAGTACGTTTCAAAAGAGATGTAGATTGAAGTGTTCAATTATTTTTTTAGTTTTAATAACCATGTCTTTTTACAGCTTTTTTTCAATGATTTTTGGTTACATTGGAAACTAATTTGGTCATGATTAAATTTATCAGCATGAAATGTATAACTTTTATGGTCTTATTCAATACTGATAAGCTAGTTGTTGATTGTGAATGCTCTTTTTGAAGTATTATTTGTATATTCATCTTGAAACATGCCATGCAGCTGTAATGCTACTCTCAATTCAATATTTTAGGAAATCTCTTTTATCAAAATATGTTAAAAAAGTGTTTGCTTCTTGCGATTGTTGGCAGTAATAAAATTGTTTATTCATATGTAAATATTTATTTTCCGTATTCTATAAGTGTATTTAAATAACTCTTGTTAGGCTACCTAATTTTCAAATTGTAAAAGACACTCGGTAGACTTGTCACTTCGTGTCTTTATACAATTTGAGTTGAGTTAGATAAACGTGATAAACAACCATCACTCATTTGGGAAACTTTTTTAAATGCACAGAATTTTTAGGAATAATATTGTGATATATTTGTTCCCTTAAATATTCCCGTGCAATATGAAAACTGCATGCAATACTCACTCCTGATATGTGAATTGCATTCAAGCCAAAACACCATTTGTAACCTTCCTGCACAACCATAAACCACTTTGAGTATGGCTAGATATATGATTTTGTATGGCAGAGTGTAGAATGACACAATGACCGATTAAGGTTATGAACAAAAGAAATTGGGTAGAAATTTGAGGTGTCCTACCTGAATCCACTGGCTGAGACGATTGTTTTTGCCACAATGGTGCCATGAATAATACCAGTACAGATCATTTGATTCCCCTGTAGTTTCTACACAAAAAACTTGCTTAGTTTTTATGGGTGGAATATATTCCAACTTCATACAGTGCTTCTTCACCAAAACAGCTTTCTTAATTGATATTGCTTATCGGGTCAAAAGGCCAAGGTCAATCCTACTTTCCATACAAAAATGTTTTAAGCATAATAGATCAGGTTCGTATCAGTTGCCAAAATAATTGATAGATTTCCAGCTTGCATCTGTAAGATTTCCAAATTTTAATTCAGAAATTATATAATTTTATGATGAATAGCAAAACAAAAAAACATGCTTTACAATATGCTTTATGTGTCCACTATGTGATAATTAAAAATGTGTTGCAGTTGCATACAACAATGAAGTGTCTTTGTTACCACAATAAATGTATACATCATTGTGTTCAATTGATACCCATTGTGTTTTCCTGGTAACATATGTACAATTGAATGTAGAGTGATATCAAAGGATTGATGTGCAGACATGATCTTCACCTATGACCCATATTAAACAGCTGTTCACTTGAGTCAGATTTCTTGTTGGCTTACTGTTAAGACTAACTTTCTTCTACTTGTGGAACAGTTATACTTCAAAGTGGAACTGGACTGTACAGAGAACAATAGCTTGGTAATTAGTTGGTGTAATATTGTGGTGTGAAATGTGATAACAAAAATGTAGTTAGCTGGTTGGATGGTAATAAGGTCTAAGTTACCAAGTCACTTCACCTGAATATTGTGATGATGCCTGATCAGTATGCTGCTTGTAGAAAACTTGACATTTAGAGATAGCAGAGTCTGAATTTTTTTATAAACTGTGTTACCTTAGAAGCACTTATATTTCGGTGTATATTTTATCCAGGAAAAAAAACCAGGTCATTGATTTTACCCAGCAAGCAGGATGGGAAAGAGCACTTCATTTTATGTGAATGACTTCTTAGCTGGAGCTATTGCAGGTAGTACATGTTGTTCACAAGTAACTTTTTGTAATCATCAAGTTAAGGTAACTGTATTCATTTTAGTGAATTTCCCTGTTAACATTTGTTATTCAATTAACATCAGTACATAGGTTGGTGAAGTTTCAGGTAATCTAACTACCATTATATAAATGTATTGAAGAGATAGTTTTTGGGCATGCATAGTGGTTACATGTCAAAATGCATGTTTTTGTTTTTATGCCAAATGGATGAAGTGTTCAATTATTCATTGTTTCATTTTCTTTTCATTATTGTCTGTATACCATATAAGCCAATACAAATTGTGTAAAAATATTGTATAATCGTATGATTTTGCATCGCTGGTTAATGTTGTGCATTTCCAATATTTCAGGATCTGTGGGAGTAATTGCTGGTCACCCCTTCGACACTGTGAAGGTAAGCAAAAAGAATATATCTAAAAATAACAATTAGGACAGTTATCAGTTAATATATGATGCATGAGTATTATATTGTTTGTTATATAAAATTTGTAACGCTGTAGTGAACTAAGCAGTAGTGAACTATATGGATATTAATATCACATGCCACAGTGCAACATCCATCTAGTTTGTCCATCTTCAATTGTTGTCATAATTTTGACTAATGCAAAACGATAAACCCATTTTTAGCTCACCTGGCCAAGTGAGCTTATGCCATGGTGCTGCGTCCGGCGTCCATCAACTTTTTCCTTTAAAACGCTGGGGGCAGAGGGGCAGGCCAAATAGGGGTAAAATAGGTAAATATTTAAAAATCTTCTTCTCAACCAATAACAGGATTTTGACCAAATTTGTTCTAGCGCTTCTTTGGACAAAGAAGCCTCAAGTTTGTATAATTGGAGAGTGTGGCACTTCTTGGGGCATAGGGGTGGGGCCCAATATGGGAAATAGAGGGGAAAAAAATTCTCCTACTATACAAGTGAAGGGATTTAAACCAAATGCAGTCTGAACCATGCTTAGGGACAAAAGAATCAATTTTGTATAAACTGAGGTGTGTGGACCCCCTTCTTTGGGGCATATGGGTATAGGGGCTGTTAAGGGAAATAGAGGAAAACATTAAAGATCATTCTACTTTTGTACCGATGAAGGGATTTTAACGAAACTTGTTCTAGAGCAAAGGGAATTTAAATGGAGGATGTGCTCGCCCCCCTCCCCCCACCCCTCCAGGGGCAGAGGAGCGGGGACAAATAGGGGAAATAGAGAAAAATATTTTCCTTTTCGTACAAATGAAGGGATTTAAACTAAATGTGGTCTGAAGCATACTTTAAAATTGGGGTGGAAAAAACTCAAATTTGTTTAATTTATATAAAAAGATGCATGTGAGGCCCAATAGGGGAAATAGCGGAAAATTGATTATCTTTTTCCTTTTTTTTTTTATTAATGAAGGGAGTTTCATCAAACTTCTTCTAGAGAACTATGGGAAAAGAACCACCCCCTGGAGTCTACCTCCTTTGGTCATAACTTGGAAAATCATTCTCTTGGTGTCTTACCCACCAAAACAGATTTACATGTAGTTCATCTTCCAACTTTGTTTCTTGTACTCCTTTGATAAACCTGTATGGTACTCAGCAGGTTTTAAATTGAAAATAAAATACCAGGTGAGCTATTAAGGCCCCTGGGCCTCTTGTTCTTAATAAAGACACTAGATACCTTAGCGGCCATTACAAACTTGAAAGCTTTGGTATTTTTATTTCTGATGTGCTCTAGGATTGTAGATTTAATTTTGAGGAAAATCCAAACCTGGGTGTGGGGAAGACGTAGAAAGAGTGATGTGTTTCGTTAGAAATCAAATATCTTTTTATTACTACAGGTCCAGTTACAAGTTCAATCCGCAGAGAACAAGTATAAATCTTTATTGGATTGTGTGTCCACAGTGAGGAAACAGAAACTTGTGAGTATCATTAGGGAGGACTTGTTTTAAATGACAAGGTACTTAGTACTCCTCAACAGTTTGTGCAGTATGACCTCAGACCTGTCTCAACTGAACTTTGTTTAAATCCTAAAAACAGTGAACTTAAATGACTTTCAATTTTGTCTTGTTCATTAATATGAAATGCAATTCTACAGTGTAAATGAGTAAAACAGATTATTTTTTTGACAGACTCTAACAATTAAAGATCCTTGAAAATTGAATGCTTATAATATTAAATAGTACAACTCAATTGTGTCTTCGTAGCTATTATAGAGCTCATTATAGTTTTGAAAATATAGATATTTATGTCAAATATCTCCATAAACTTAGGGGATAACCCTACTGTATTTTGAAATTTGTGGCAGTATATCGCGATTATACTCTGCGTCACCAGTAAAACTCAATTTTCAAAATACAGTACGGGTGTTCCCATTCTAATTCAAATAAGCCAAAACCATTGGTGACATCAGGAATATTCAAAGTGAGGTGGCATCACATTGGCCTTTCGCAGTCATGCTATTGTTCATGACATCATGAATAATCTATTTCATGACGTGTCAGGGTCAATTGGAGTCATTGACGTCATTAACAATCACCATTCAGGCTTCATATGCAAATTAGAAATTTGCAGACAGTATCTCTTGGTTATATGATCACTAATTATTTTGAATGACCAATCAAATGTTATGTTACATCTCAAATGAATTAGAATAGCATATATATGAGCCTTCCATGGAGAAATGTGAAAACAGGTGTAGGCTCATTCCTGGGCATGGGCTTATATCTGTTAAACTGCTTCTGTCCTTTTTCTGGTTCAACTGGGATGCTTATTTGGTCAAATACTGTATATTTGATACCTTGACAACTGTTCATGTTATTATTTGAAATGTACAGTGCATTAATTTCCCATAGATACTTGTATATGAAATTAAGCTAGACACAGGCCTTGCTTTATGAGGGATCCTGGATTTCAGGTCTGGGAGCTTCTCAGATCAGCTAGAAAACATGGCTCAGTAGTTCAAAGCTTGATAAAAAATTGCACTGAATTAAACCAGCATGTATATTGTAAAGGGATCAGAAGGTTATATAAGCTATTGTTTATAGACAAGAGAAAAAAAACCACACTAATTTATAGGTTTTTGGAAATATCTCTCAAACGAGGCATTTAAATATTTGCATTAAGCCAGGTGCATATAGCTACATTAATGCAGGTACGCAGGTGTATCTACCAAATTTCAAGAAGAAAAAAGAAAAGTCTGCTCTTTGCATACTGAATGTGATTCCATAAATCATGTATGTCGGTATAAAATAACATCTTATTTTTATACTTACTTTATTTTTTCCTCCTGGGCTACAGCTACACCCTGTAAGCACTGGTTTAGCTAATCCAGTTTTGAACAACCTGACCTAGGATGTTTAGGACTGAGCTATGAGAAATGCAAATTGTGTGAGGTTTAATTTACAACATATCTTTGAACAATGTATTTGTACATGCTCCAAGGAATGCAAACACAATGTAAATTATTAGGTTTATGAATTGATGTATTTTTACAATTGTCACAGTCGACAGGGTTTTTTCGTGGACTTTCCTGGCCCATGCTTTCTGCTGGAGTCATCAACTCAGTGTACTTTGGAGTGTACGGATACACATTGAAGGCGCTTGGTGGAAGCAAGGAAGAAAATAATGCACCACACTACCTCAAGATACTGTTTGCAGGCTGTTTAGGGGGCGTGGTCCAGTTGATTCCAGCATGCCCAGCAGAGGTCATTAAGGTGGTTTTACAGTCACAAATACCACATGGCAACGTCCAAGGAGGTCAGTACACACAATACTTTATTTTATGTGATAGGTGCAGTTGTACTGCTTTTCTTGAATATGAAATACAATGTATAAGTATATGTATCAGTACGTAAATTGTGATTGTCACTTGACAACGCAGAACATGTCTGCTGCACCTCGGTAGCCATGTTTATCAGACAGTCTTTTAGCACCTTTTTGTGTTGCTACTTTGAATCTTGATGTAAAATAACTTTTAAAAAAAATAGAAAATAAAATAAAAATAGGTTAATGCTGGATATTAAATCTTCTGGACAAGTTCAAAGAAATTTTTCACTTTCCCTTACAGCCAAGTTTTACAAAGGTCCGTTGGAGGGTGCTGCAGACATCCTGAGACTACATGGCTTAAGAGGAATGTACCGAGGTCTGCCCACACAATGTTTCAGGGACATTCCTGCCAATGGGATCTACTTCCTGGTGTTTGAGTTTCTCACATTCAACGGATCTAGCAAACTACCTTTTATACCATCTGCTGTACAAAATTTCTTTGCAGGTGGTATAGCTGGTGTGCTCAGTTGGGTGGCAATTATGCCATTCGATGTGGTGAAAAGCCGTCTCCAGGCTGACTGTGAAGGTAAGCATTTCAAAGGGTTCCTAGACTGCGCCCGGAAGTGCTACAGACAAGAAGGTCTGTCCGTGTTTTACCGGGGTCTGTCTATGGTGGCCCTGAGAGCATTTCCAGTTAATGCTGTCACATTCATGTTGTATGCTGAAAGTATGAAACTCCTTGGAGAGGAGGTCACTTATACATAATCCAACTTATAATAATAAAAAATCATATTTGAGGTCTACTAAGTAATATTTCAATAGTAATATTCAACTATTGTCATTCCTGAAACACCATATGCAGTCGATGAATAAATGATTATTTGTCAATATATTTCTCTAAAAAGGTACACCACAAAGGGTAATTATAAACGCTACAGCATAATGATTTTCTAAAATGTTTCATCAATTTACAACAAAACTTTTAACACACCAAAGTATTTATATAGAGGATCTCAGAAAAATGACAAGTATTATGGAACAAGTTTCAAATGGAATAGAAACGAGATTAAGAATCTTAACTAGACCCCAATGTAAAAATATCCTGAAACAGCTTCTGATGTTGTTCCCATCCCATGGAGATTGCCAAGTTGGAAATTTCCCAAAACAGCTTTTTTCCTTGGGGTTGAAGAATTCATATTTTAAAACTACATGTTTTTGGTTTGAAGAATTTCTTATTTGTGTTACTAGAAAGTATATTTAACCTACCCCGATATCATTTGTTAAAAACTGTAAATTTAAGTCAATGGTTGTTAAAACAGCTTTAGCCAATTAATCTTTTAAACAGTTTACCTATATATTCATAATGTACTTTGTAAAACATTGAATTTTGAAAAAATTGTTTTTGTTATCCAGTACATGTAAACATTAAAACCTTGATACACAGAAGCTTGTTTGCTGGGCCATTTCCTGGTATTTATGTCTATTACTGTCAGGTTGTATTGATACAGTTTTGAGAGATTTAAATTGATGTAACGATGGTGTGAATGTACACACATCAATCTGAATGCGCATGCATCCTTACAATCTGGGATAGGAAATTCAGAGAACTGAGCAAAATTATGTGAAACAGAACAGTTTAGGAGTATTAAGTTTTTGTCAGAAATGTACAGATGTTTTACAAAAAATGAAACTTGTTGCTGATAATGATTAGTAATTTTGAAGAAAAAAACACTAATTGACCTAGNTAGACTCAGGTGACCGTTTAGGCCCATGGGCCTCTTGTTTAGTTAACACAATGTGTTAGAACATTTTCCTCTCATTCTAACTATCAAATTAAATTATAGATTATTGACAGCATCTGTCTTCAGTGAATGAAGTTTATTATTACTGTTAAAGAAGAAATGTTCCCAAATTGTTGTTTTATTATACATCCATGGAGTAGGGTTAAGCCAACACTGATTTAAATAGTTTTCAATGGTGGAATAATCTGGTCCTTTGTCCTTCGTCTGGATACCCGAAAGTATACAGGATGATTGAGTCAAATGAGTTACATAGACATAGATCCAATCACAACAGGCAAAGGAGCATGCAGTTTATTTTGTAGACATCTAATACACTAGAATCATTTATTCAATTTTGCATTTTTAAAACTATTTAGTTTGCAATTTTTAGTATTAGATAAGTATTAGTGGAATTTAGTAGGAATTATGTTGTTGGTATTGGGAAATAAGTGTTAAGTACTAATCATGAAGATCTGTCTCTGTTTAATTCAAAATCTTTTACACATGTTACTAAAACAAATTTTGTTATGTTAATGTCTCGATGAATGAAGTTCAGTTATTCATCTGTTGAAATGTTTAGTTTGACGATACAAATGTTAACACTAACTAGTCTGTGTATTTATTCTTTTCAAAGTTTTTATATTTGTTTGTCAGGCTGTCCCCTTTGTGAGTTTTTAGTTGGGACATATTCCTGACAATGAACAAGGGAGAGATTCTGCTCTCGTGTTGTCTTCATATAAACAGATTCCCAGGAAATCCCAGTCGTTTTATGTGTACCAGCACATACATTATTACAGTACATATAATAAGAGATATATCAATTTTTTTAAGCTTTGATGAAATGCACAAGTACCGTATAATCGACTCTGGTTTTATAGAGATGTGTGATTTAATAAATTACTTTTGTTCTCAGCATTATTTGATGTCAAATTAAAGTACATAGCATTCAGCCAAATATTTCTGTACTTAATTTATGGCATAACCAATTTATTGTGGAGTTTTTACCAGGTATTGATCCAAAATAGTTTTATGTAAAATTATTTTGTTAAATTTATGGAGTTCTTCATATACATTGTATATCATTTTTTTGAAGCTTTAATGAATTGCACAAGTACCGTATAATCTACTCTGGTTTTATAGAGATGTGTGATTTAAAATGTGGACTCAATTACTTTTGTTCTCAGTATTATTTGGTGTCAAATTAAAGTACATAGCATTCAGCCAAACATTACTGTACTTACTTTATGGCATAACCAATTTATTGTGGAGTCTTTACCAGGTATTGATCCAAAATAGTCGTATGTAAAATTATTTTGTTAAATTTAAGGAATTCTTCATATACATTGTATTTCATTTTTTTGAATTGCACAAGAACAGTTTAATCGACTCTGGTTTAATAGAGATGTGTGATTTAATAAATTACTTTTGTTCTCAGCATTATTTGATGTCAAATTAAAGTACATAGCATTCAGCCAAATATTTCTGTACTTACTTTATGGCATAACCAATTTATAGATATTACTAGATATTGATCCAAAATGGTTCTTTGTAAAATCATTTTGTTAATTTTACAGAATTCTTCATATACAAACAATTACAATTTTTGCTACAGTATTTAATTCACAAAACGACTGTCCATGCTGCCAAACAGTTATGCACAAACTATCCGGTGCGGAATGATTCAATGTAGTTCTATAAATATCAATCTAAAATAATGTATTGTTCTGTAAAATTGTTTGTTTCAATACAAAATTGTTTATGTACAATGTTATGAATCTTGATATTTTAATACAATATGTTGAAACAATTTTCTCTCATTCTAAAAATTGATTGTAGAATAGCAGCAGCTTACCTCAATAACTTAAGAGTATAAATTCAGTGTATTGTTTAAGTTACAAAGGGTTCTGCAATGCATAAATAGTCCCAAACAGTTGTTTTAAATTTGTTTAATCTATTACTAAATATGTAGTTTTCGTTTATCGCCATCCAAACGGTTGAATCGGTTGGACCAAAGTTGTTTGTTTATGAATTAAGGTCGGACCCAGTCACTTGATACTACTTTCAGGCGAGCCTTGAAAAAGCCTTACAAGGCCTGCATAAACATTTGCGGGTCCGCCAGGATTTATAACCGAAAAATGGACAAACTGGTTGTTACAAATAAACGACCAGGCCCCTATTCTCAGGAACCCAGTCATTGTATCAATGAATTTCATAATTATGAGTAGGACTATAATCAGTTATTGTTTTATGAATTTTTATTGAGACCATCAGATATAAAATTTTGATTCAGCATATTTTATTCTGAGAAATACAAATGTATTGATATTACATACATATACAGTCCATTGGGTCAAACAGAAATGGTATCTTTTATTCACAAAGGTATTTATTATTAAAAAATGCACAATCTGCACAGTTCAACATTTCTGTACCAAATTTACGGCATATGAAGCGGAAGTTGAATAATTAACTACACCTTTTTGAAATCTACAGAATTATTCATTATAGGTTCACTTTTTTTACCAATTGTGATAATTTAATCATATACAGTATTGTTAATTATTTCAATTTAGTATCACCCGGCAGGTGATTATTAGTAGCAAGTGACATTGATTTCTTCTATTGTTTTACAAATAATTTGTTATACAATCCTATCATTTATATGTGGTACCTTTGTATTGTCATTGTTAAGAGAGATGTTATAGTGATTTTACACGGTGATGTACACCTGTTACAAATTTGGTCAGCATTTTGTGTAATTTCAGTTTTGTTCGTGGATGTTCAGTTTTCCTCCCCCCTCCCCCCAAATGACTGCATATTTTCAACCTTATTTTATCCCTGGGTCTACTAATTGGTCAAGGGGTGAAGAAACGGGGCCTTTCATTCCATGCAACTTGTGAGAGGGAATTGTTTTGTCCATATCTGAGTAACTGTAAGTGCTGTATAGATTATACTTGCTTCAATGATGAGGCAATAGCTGCTCTACAGAATACATTTTGCAGATTCTGAATTATCAACAGTTATGACTTCAATAACTTAATTAAGGTGAAATGGTTTTACAGTATCAGGTTGAGAAAAATTTCATGTCCATGTTTGGGAAACTAAAATTGCTACATTGTATCAGTGATGCAACCATGGAACTCTTATTACATTAGGTATTGCTGTTGCCATGCTTTGATCTCCATCCATGAGTTAAGTATGGTTGTCTTTAGTTAAAGTATCAGTACTGTTTGAAAATGTATACGGTTTACAAAACAGCTGAAATCTTTTTGTCAGCTCAATCAGATCAAGGAAGACGGCTCTTGATCCAGAAATAGTTTCATTTGATCCATAAAAAGGGGAAAACATATACATCCTTAGTGCCCATTAAAAGAAATGCTGACAATCAACTCCGACCCCGATACTTTATTGTTATTACTCATCAAGGTACCTAAACTACTGTATATTACTCTTTTCAGTCATATATATCACCCCAGAAATGTACTTTGTTCTGCTTTGAATTTTTTTTTGTGAAATTCCCACAATTTATGATTGTGCTAAATGTTATCCTCAAGGACTTGTTGTTCATCCAAAAACAATGCTTTCAGAAATCCAATAAATTAAATGTTGTGATATTTTTCCTGAAATAGGTTTGCTAATTGTTCTGATGTTTTAGTTTAAACCTAGCCTAAATGAGCTCATGTTATAATCAATGCATATTACAAAAGTTGAATTGATATTCATCCTTATTATGCATTTTCAAATGGTTGAACACTAGAAAACTATAGTTCATTATAAATGAGTTCTATGTCTGTCAGAACTTTGATGAATGCAGAACACATGCAAAACAAACGTCTTTTGTCACCAAAATGAGCTTTGATGTTTCATTGATTATAAGTTATAGTCAGTAGGAACATATCTTTAAGTTGTTTATTTTCATTTCTACGATAGTAAAAGATTGAGTGTTATTGGTAAATTTGTAAGGTTGGAAAATGAAACAAAAACTGATTGGTAATACAGGCCCTTTGAACCTCTTAGATTACATGTACATTTTAAAGCCAACACCATTAGTGAATGCATTTCTTTTGTCAGTTTTTTAATTATGTTAGTCTTATTTAAAATTAATATTTTTTGTTAAAGAAAAAAATGATATGTGATAATTTGTGATAAATAGCTTTAAATTAAATCAACTATGCATGTTGTAACCAGAATGTATTGTTCTGATGAAGTGATCTTGTCTTGGTGCAATATCTGTCGTTTATCTGTTTGTTATTTATATAATTTTACCAAAATTAACCATTTTCAAAGATACAAAATGGAAGTGTATCTGAGACATTGGCAGAATTTTACATCATAAACTTTATGTGTAGACTTAAAAAAAAATCAAAGGTTGGCAAATATTAATACAATCTATCGAAGTAGCCTTCATTGCAGATGTTGAACTACAGGTGAGGGAGATGGCATGGGCTTCTTTGTATCGGTACTGATACACAAAGATTTATGTTACCTTTTTTTTTTCTCTGTTATCTTTTTTAAAAGTTAATCCATGTAACCTGTTAGAGATTTATTATTAATGATGCATAATCCTTTGAAGATGCACTGATATATATTTGTAGTCATAATATTACAGTATTCAAATAAAACAGCATTATTTAGTTTGTTTGTGGTGTTATCTCTTGTCAGTGTCACCTTTCTGTTTATACCAGTGGAATTTGTCTACCATGAGGACAGTGTTATACAGGTTCAATTTGCATCAATACACAGGTGAAGGACACACTATATACTATAATGTATATTCATAATATTAGTTTGTCTAGCACCTGTGCATCAATATAAAAAAAACGTTTCCTGTGCTATGATTGTCCTGTCTATATATAGGATTGATGAGCGTATGATAGAAAGTCCAAATGGTATTCCAAACATGGTAATTTCTGCTCTGAAGTAATTACAGATTTTTTTTTATTTAGATGTTGGATAAAAAGTGTGTAAGGTCTTTGCAAGTTTGAGTACAGAGACTAGACACATGTAAATCATCAATCTTAATATATATTTGGAAATTACATGAACATTTCTGATGTAATAGTCAATAATATACAAAGAACTAAAATTACAGATTTTTAGGTCACCTGACCGTCGTCCATCGTCTGTCGTCTGTTAACATTTTACATTTCAAACTTAAAGTCAAGTTCTGCTGGGCCGATTGAACTGAAAGGTTGTAGGAATGATCGCCTCATGGTCCTGACAAAGTGTTGTTATTTTCGGGTCGATCAGAAATCCAATATGGCCGCCACGGCCGCCATTTTGAAAATCTATTTCAAACTTAAAGTCAAGTTCTGCTGGACCGATTGAACTGAAAGTTGGTAGGAATGATCGCCTCATGGTCCTGACAAAGTGTTGTTATTTTTCGGGTCAATCAGAAATACAATTTGGCTGCCATGGCCGCTATTTTGCTACTAAGTTCTAATAGGCCGATCTCACTTAAAATTGGTCTAGGAATGATCAGCTCATGGTCCTGACAAAGTTAAGTTAACATTATACTATTTTTTACTCAAATTGGTACATATTTCAACAACAAAAATAAATACTGTAGACTCGGGTGACCGTTAAGGCCCATGGGCCTCTTGTTAAATTAAGCCTGTGGTCTGTGGTAGTGATTGATACAACATATTGGCATTCATCTGGACCCTTTGAGCTCAAGTACAACGTTAAACTGTTCAGAGGTAGATGAACATACATAATTTAGCAGTTATCATTTGGTCACGTAATCTGTCGGTAAGCAACGGAACTTACTAAAGTTTCAGAAAGATTTTGCATGTGAAGTTTGTAAACCATTGTTTCTCCGGATCTTCTAAAGGGATCATGACTAAACATGGTATATGTCACATGGTTACCTTAGTACCTAGTTATGCCTACTTCAAATTCAGCCTATTAGAATGGATATTGCGTGTAAAGTGTGGTGTTGCCAAGCAATAAGGGATCATGACTAAACACATCACATGACTACCTTCACCGGGCTTAGTCCCTAGTTATGCCTGCCCAAATTCAGCCTAGTAAAGTTTGTTACCAAGCAATAAAGGGATCCTGATGAAACTTGATTTGAAGGATCCTTTTTGTCCCTAGTTGTCCTTGCTCCGATTTGTGATAGAAAGAAAGCTGCCAGACAGTCATCATAGATTTTGTATTTAAGTTTTTAACTGATGTTTCCAAGAAACTACTACTAAAGGAACCATGACGAAAATGGTAAATGTGATTACCTTGGTACCAAGTCGAATCGGCTTCAGGCTGGTTTGTGTTTGTTATCTCTAATGAGCTATTGCAACTCTTTATACTTCTTCTCCATAACCACTGGCCATGGACATATTTCAAAATTTGCAGAAATTATTCTTAGTTGATTGAGAATCAGATGTGGAAAGGATAAGGGGGCCACCTTTTTAAGGAGAAAATTTTCGGACATCTATAAAATATTCTTACAAACCAGATTGAAGTCGTGATATTAATGAAGTACCCTTAAGATATGCTGTACAAAGTTTGTTAAAGAAAAGAAAATATTTCTATAAACGGGGCAACTAGGGGGTGCTTCGCAACACGCTCAACATTTTTCCTGAAGAACGGGAAAGCATAGGGTAACATTTGGCAAGAAACTTGTCACCGAGTGCTACAAAGAAATAATCTTGATATATATTAAAGGTCATAAGGGTCTGATTTATCAAAATATTTCCCTTCAGTACCTGTGCACATGCTTTAGGGGTGTACAATCCTGATAGCCTAATGCCCCTGCATGATATCTCAGCTAGTTTAATCTGCTAAATTAACAACACAGTACTAGCAACAAAAGATTTTCAACATTTTTTAATATCATTCAGTCTTCAATAAATATTTAAAATATTTCATACATGTAGTAACAATGGTCTCTGCTTCTATCATCTTCTTAAACAAGTTGTGTTCAGGTTTATTCTACCTGTGACACATTGGTGAGCATATAAGCTGCTGATTCAATGAATCCCACTACATACCTGTAGCTTTCTCTGTAACTGCACCACCATGAACAAAAGAAGAGATTCCCTAGTCTTCTGCAGCTGTTTTACATCTGAAAATCCTTATTCTGCAAGCACTTTCCTCGCAGCCATTTTGTGGTTCAATGCTTTCAGTCGTAACAGAACCAATACCGACCTCTCGTCTATAGCCTTTAAGACACTGCTGTTCTGTTAGAACATTCAGTTTGTCGATTGACATCCATCAGGCCTATACCCAGAACTGATTTGCTAGGGGAATGAGTTTTTCACAATACATTGGTGTGTTTCCAGTCCAATCTATGGTCAGTACTCCAGCCATTCCTTCATGTAAACACAGTTTGTTGGTGATACTGGCCCTCCTTCACAGCACTGGTTAAATACCTGTACAAGAGAGAGCAGATTTGTGTAGTGTATGTATAACTGTACAGCTGTGTATTCATCATAAAAGATGTCATTCAAAATGATACTTAACAAGTATTGTTACATTTATCAAACAATAAAAACTATTTCAGACAATTTCAGGGCAGTTGGAACATTCAGGCCATTCAGAATTAGAGTACATAATTGTGTTTTAAGCATTGAAAACCCAGAAATATCACAAGATTTTGACTTACAGGACAAGATCCACAAGGCATCCTCATGAGTCCAGTGGTAGGTACGAGTGATTTCATTGCACGGTACAGCTTGGAGCTGGCCTCTCCAGCACTGGAGGATGCTGTTACTGATCGTTCTACCTTGCCGTCGTATATAAGGGTGTCCATGATAGTCTCAATGTCATCCACGGACAGCTGGACCTGAAATAAGTAAATGAACTTGTGATTTATACAGTCCATCTATCTTATTCTATAAACTCACTTCACTAATGATGTGTCTTAAACAGGTTTACTTTTGTAGCAAGCAATCCATTTTACGGAAATTTTAATATGAAACTTTCACAGATTCAAAACATTTTTCTGTATAAATTTTCTCTAATGAAAAGAAGTTTAATACTGTAAAGGAGAGTCCCTATGATTCATATTGGACCTCCCTAGGTGGTGGCCCTTATACTGAACACATATTCTAGCTTTTAGTTAAAGACTGAAACATTTCTTTTGAACATGATGATATGCAACACAGTTCTGTTCAAAAATATTATATGACATGCATTAGCCAATACTGCAAAATATGTTAGACCAGAATTCTGTTGTATGCTATCGTCAATGTTAAAAAGATACTCTACCTTTTGTTTAAATTAATCAATACAACAAATTTGTATTGGTAATGGTAGAACAGACGTTTTTGCAGGAATAATGTGTTTTTCTATGTTTACAAGTTCTGTCAGGAAATGTAACATTGATCAGAAACCATTTGGGAATATCCATAATAATTCAAATTTGACATCACACCATGATTGGTCCTCAAATTATTCTCGACAATAAGACAGAAAGACATGGACAGTTTCCAAATGGAAACATAAATGTGTACTAGTTCTTGTTGTTATTTGGACTAAACAACATTTTTGGTTGCTTATATTGTTGATCTAATGGCTGTACAACCAAATGTTTAAGTTCTTTTCAACTTTCCCTCACAGTACGCGTATGCTATCAGACTCAATTGAACAAACTTGGTAGCCCTTAATCCAATCATGTTACCGGCCAAATATCATCACCCTGGTCCAAAGACCAATAACACAAGCACATAAAGCTTACCTTACTAATGCCCAGTTCTGAGATATACTTCCATACATCTGATAATGAGGTAAAGGCTGCATTCCTCTGAGCTATAGGGTCTATCTGGTTCTCCCTTGCAATGGTGGCCTGTAGACAAACAATATGATTTTGACATATTTGGTATTTACTTTTTACATAACAACAAGACCATCATACATCATTCAGTTATGTTTTCTGCGGCATGCCTATGATTATTATAACATTTTGTATTTTATCTGTATTTGTGACGCAGATAGGAGTATAAAGTTTTTAAAACTGAACACCCTCCTGTCGTTACTAGCTGTGGTGTGAAAATTACCAATATTCATCCAATCAATCTTGAAATAAATGTGCGAATCCATTGTAAAACAACCTAAACACATGACTAATTAAACATTGCTCTATACTACTGTCGACTCCTGAGGGAGTGGTAGGAAGCTCAGGATAGAGAAGAGATAAAGACCAAACAATTTGCTGTCTATTTGATGGTATAGAAGGGGTGAGAGGCTGTCTATTTGATGGTATAGAAGGGGTGAGAGCCTGTCTATTTGATGGTATAGAAGGGGTGAGAGGTTAAGGACATATATACCAAACCTTTTGCTCCAGATACTTGAAGCACTGCTGATTGAGGACCTCAACAAATTCTGACTCAAAGTCCTGGTCGTTTTACCATTGTCCTCCAGTCACCGTCCGGTCCGGCTCCAAGTTGTACAACATGTAGACCTTCTGTAGGAAGCTCAGGATAGAGAAGAGATAAAGACCAAACAATTTGCTTTCTATTTGATGGTATAGAAGGGGTGAGAGGCTTTCTATTTGATGGTATAGAAGGGGTGAGAGGCTGTATATTTGATGGTATAGAAGGGGCGAGAGGCTGTCTATTTGATGGTATAGAACGGGTGAGAGGCTGTCTATTTGATGGTATAGAAGGGGTGAGAGCCTGTCTATTTGATGGTATAGAAGGGGTGAGAGGATGTCTATTTGATGGTATAGAAGGGGCGAGAGGCTGCTTATTTGATGGTATAGAAGGGGCGAGAGCCTGTCTATTTGATGGTATAGAAGGGGCGAGAGCCTGTCTATTTGATGGTATAGAAGGGGTGAGAGGCTGTCCATTTGATGGTACAGAAGGGGCGAGAGGCTGTCTATTTGATGGTATAGACGGGGTGAGAGGCTGTCTATTTGATGGTATAGAAAGGGTGAGAGGCTGTCTATTTGATTGTATAGAAGGGGGGAGAGGCTGTCTATTTGATGGTATAGAAGGGTCGAGAGGCTGCCTATGTGATGGTATAGAAGGGGCGAGAGGCTGTCTATTTGAAGGTATAGAAGGGGTGAGAGGCTGTCTATTTGATGGAATAGAAGGGGCGAGAGGCTGTCTATTTGATGGTATAGACGGGGTGAGAGGCTGTCTATTTGATGGTATAGGAGGGGCGAGAGGCTGTCTATTTGATGGTATAGGAGGGGTGAGAGGCTGTCTATTTGATGGTATAGGAGGGGCGAGAGTATGTCTATTTGATGGTATAGGAGGGGCGAGAGGCTGTCTATTTGATGGTATAGACGGGGTGAGAGGCTGTCTATTTGATGGTATAGGAGGGGTGAGAGGCTGTCTATTTGATGGTATAGGAGGGGCGAGAGGCTGTCTATTTGATGGTATAGGAGGGGCGAGAGTATGTCTATTTGATGGTATAGGAGGGGCGAGAGTATGTCTATTTGATGGTATAGGAGGGGCGAGAGGCTGTCTATTTGATGGTATAGAACGGGTGAGAGGCTGTCTATTTGATGGTATAGAAAGGGTGAGAGGCTGTCTATTTGATTGTATAGAAGGGGTGAGAGGCTGTCTATTTGATGGTACAGAAGGGGTGAGAGGCTGTCTATTTGATGGTATAGAAGGGGTGAGAGGTTAAGGACATATATACCACACCTTTTGCTCCAGATACTTGAAGCACTGCTGATTGAGGACCTCAACAAATTCTGACTCAAAGTCCTGGTCGCTATACCATGCTCCTCCAGTCACCGTCCGGTCCGGCTCCAAGTTGTACAACATGTAGACCTTCTTCTTGGAGGCCTAAAAGAGAGGTAACATTGAAACAAAACAACCCAAAAGGTCACATTCAGTTCATCAGTGATGAATACCTAATTGGAAAATAGTTTTGAATTTCTTTTTGTTTCTTCTTTAAAAGAGAATTCAGCAAAATGACACCAGGTCTATGCAGAGTATAAAAGTTCAATTAAGGTGGTCAGATATACCTTGTAGTTACATTTAGGTAAGGCACATTATACAATTACAGCACACAGTTGTCATATTTCACATAACCTCATCTTGATCTAAAAGTGAGGCAAAGAGTTAGAAGTATATTCCTTTTTCAAGGTCTAGATTTTTCACAGGTGATACTAGTTATATGTTGGTGGAATCAAATATTACCCATGTGCAGTGATTAATTTAATGGTCCTTTCCACTTCATCCTGCTTCTCTATATTTAACAACAAACTATCCAACCAATTCTCACAAGTCTTATCTAATTTGGCTCTAATTGCAATATCAGAACTGAAAAACTACGAAATCACACTCGATAAAAACCCTTAGTCTACAACAGGTAAAAATATTTGTACAACGTCAGCAAAAAATAATCATGTACAAGATAAATACCTCGGACAAATTTATATACCGGAAAGTATTTATTCAGTTTAAATAAAACTAACTTATTTTTGACCTGGAAAAATTCCCAATTCAAGTAAAACTAGAGCTGTAGATGAATAGCATAGTTACCTATGACTTGTCCTAACTTTAAGTGTATTATTATGTGATGAAAGTTTTCTAATCCTGCAAGACCACTTTGAATCACATCTTTGCAAAATTGCAATGTAGCACACCGTCATAAAATATCAAAAAAGTGAGCTATTATGTAGGAATTGTGAAAATCAATTATAATTTTGTTCAAAATCTCAAGAAAAACCAAATTAAGTAGGACAGACCATACTTTCTATACAATTTTAACTATGGCTTCATTGTATTTATTATAACAGAGTTATCAACTTTCTAAATATTACTACAATAATTATCCAGAAAATTGTATACTTACCGCCACAGACTTCACAGCCTTAATTAATTTCTTGCTCTCTAAGTTCTTCAGTATTTTGTTGACTTGTGTTAATAATAGGTTACACTTGTACCTGATGTCCCTTATCCAAATTCCTGTGTAAAATGACAGTATCAATTATAAAATTTTACAAGTGGTAACAAGTGAACATGTATCTGAAGTTTCAGGACACTCAGATAAGAAATTTAATATGCAGAGCAAAAACACCAAAATTCTCTTAAAGAAATGATGTTTTTTATTCCTACAAGTCGAAGATGCATATAACAGGTGAATGTAATGAATGCAAAGGTGAAGTTTCATTACAATCTGTCAAGCAATAACATTATTAAAGGCAGATAGCTATACCAGTGTAAAATCATCACAAAGGTATAATTAACTGGCAAAAGGATATTTTCAAAGTGAATCAGTACCCTGCGCTCCAATGTTACATGCTGTTAGGGAAATTTCACTAAACCTGATTGCAGGATACTATCTATACTGATCAGTTCAATAAGTAAATGTAAGCATCTACATTACCTTTGTTGCTAGCATCCTTTATTATCTGATAGACCAACTTCTCTTGGTTGTCTGACCCTTTTGTTTGACTGAAATGAAAGGTTAAAATGTATAAAGCAACAAGGTGATGACTAGAGACTACTGGTATATACAGGAGACACGGTAGTCTAGTGGTAGGTCTGCGGGTTGAGTCACGGCACGGCACTGTGTTGTATCTTTGAGCAAGAGACTTTACTCTGCTTGTTCCAGTCTACTCAGCTGTAAATATTGTTCCAGTCTACTCAGCTGTAAATGAGTATGTGGTTGAGCAGTGCAAGAATTGTAGAATGCTAGCTGTGAGCGCCGAAATGGCAACACCGGCTGTATGCTCCCCAGGGAGTTGAAAAAGATATTGGCTAGTTGCAAAGGCCCTATAACGACGGATCATAATTTGTGAACCGCTTTGAGATACCCTACGAACTAGGTTGTGATAAATTATTATTATTTTTATTAGTTTCCAAATGTGTGGCCCTAAAACCCTTTAGCAAGATAACATATCGTAAATCCATTCCTTGGACCTATCAAAATCATCCATCTATCAATATGGGTTTTGGTATTTTCAGTGAACAATATAGCATGTTGGACCACCGTAAACAGTTGTTTCTTGATGGCTGTGTACTTGAATATTCCACATACAGCTGGTGTTCTTAAATCTAGCATAGAAAGTAGCTTGTTACCTGGCAGCATCTGGATCCTTTAATTTGTACACCAGATTTGTTCCTCGCTTCAACAGATCAACTTTTCCCTGTAAACACAGACATAGTATTGAATGGTCATTTCAATGCAATATATATTCCTTAATATAATGACTTCTAAAAGCAAGTCAGATAACTGAATATATTGCAGGTAGTTAACCAATCGCTACCCATGATAGCCATTCTTTACTCAAACTTTGTTGACATAAACTCATTAACTATACACTGTATATCTAGAAGAAGAATAACCTGATTACCGATCTCTTTCACTGGTATGGAGTCAGTATCACAAGAACACAACTGTTCAAGCTTAGCTAGGAGAGATAATACCAAACTAGAAATGTGTCTGTGAGACACTGATGTACTGCAGAAGCCAAAGTAACAGGTCAATGCTACAAAATGTCATGCAGCACTGAGTACTCAGGAGCAGTAGCATGTGAAGTTGTGTGACTATAGCTGCAGTTAGTCCACATTACTGTCATAAATGCAAAACTTACCAGACATATGTACAGACAAGAGTAACAGTATATGTCCAGCAACGCTTCATGCCAGGACATAAAAATACTGACCATAAGATTGATCTTTAAAAGAGGTGAGCAGCCAATGCAAAGGGTGTAAACAAAAGGCTGTAGTTTTAGAGTCCATAGGAACAAGGACCCCCCCAATGTGAACGGTGGAAATTAGAGGTTTGTACCTTGATCATCCAAAATAACTTTTAAATGGCTCAATTCATAATAATGAAACTTCATAGATGTACACACAACTCTCAGGTTCTCACCCCAAAATTGACCCAAATGTCAAGGACTGAAGGTCACAACAAATTCTGAAAGGTCAAACACAACTATCAGGTCCATACTTTCAAGATCAAGGGGTCACAAGTTAAAATCATTTTCAAGCTTGTCAAGGAAATTATTTTTGAAAGAATTAACATATTTCAATTATTTTCCTACAAATACCATTTGGACAATGCGTTGGTCAGTTCAGGTAACATAAAATACACAGTAAAATGATGTTAATGGCCCTGTACTTGAATATGTCACTGAAACTAGTTTGTTGATGGGTGTGCCTGCAGGTCCACGTTGTACACTTGCACATACCGTTGATAGTAGTCTATTAATGGCAGTGACTCGTTGCTTGGCATTACACTGAGGAAATTCCTGTTGTATGATAGCATCTGTTATCCCATCTGTATACGTCTGGCATAGCTCAATGAATCTAGATAATGAAGAAGATTTTTTTTTAAATAAACCAATTACCGGTTATACATCTATTAGTTGTGATATTTGAATGGAAATCAAAATAAAGGAAAATGTTTTAAAATTGGGTAAATCAACCACATATTTATTTCAATATATACATGGTTATTATTGTTTGTCCTTTAGTGTTTAAATGATAGAAACTTATAAGACAGAGACTTTCTCTAGGACTATGCACAATTATTCTTTATTTAGTCTGTCTAACTAAAAATTTGTTTTTTCCTACTACTTTATACAAATAAAGTCAAATAATCGTATATCTACAATTTTCTTCAATTTATTTAGGCATTGTATATATAGTCTGTGGGTGGTGCAGGCATACTGCAAGATTCATCAAGATATCTTTAAAGGTATAAAGTTACAGCCTGGATTAGATATATTACTAAATAATATGCACTTATTTGATCTGTAATAATTACCTAGCTTGAGGTCAAGGTCACAGTTACCTACCGAAAATGCACTGAGTAATGAAGGTGTTAGTTTCTTTATGATATTTTTAACAGTTTAAAAGTTATGGCTAGGACAAGGTATTCTTTTAAAGTTTGCATTTATTTGACCTTTTACCATGAGGTCAAGGTCATATTGAAGCATGTACAAGTGTGAAGTTGTAAGGTGTGTTAACTTAATTGTTAGGTTATCGCAAGTTGGATTGATCCATTTATGTATTGTTTTAAGTAAGATATATGTATCTATTGATGATATTTGTATGTTTTATGGTTTTGTGACCATAAAGAGTTATTTGTATGACTAATTTTAGATGTATTGGTCAATTAGGCTACATTCGCATATCCCGGTTGAAACGGTACATGTGGCGCAGAAAACGAACGCACTTGGAACGTTCTCACATAATAAGCAGAGCTAAAATTGCACAGTTTCGGAGAATAAAAAACAATGTATCAAGAATATTATGCCCTTCCTCCATGCGTCCCCTGAATTACATAACATATCTTTAAAACTACATGTGGCTTGACATTGTTTTAGAAAGAAATAACGCAAACTAACAATAGTCAGCATTTTAGTTTCAATCAGGTACGTCTGGAGCCCTCAATCTACACGTGCCAAATTTTCCTGAGGTCAGCCTTGGTCCAGATCTGTGCCTGTCGTTTTCTTTACAGGTTCAACCGGATACGCGAATGTACCCTTAGTGTTCACTAAAGTCATGAGTATAAGAGTCAAGCAGAGAGATACCATGAAAGCAAATATCCGACCATTTCATATGGATGAAGTTACTGGTAACTCAATGCCTACCATCAGTGCCATGTAATAATTACTAATATATGTGAAATCAACGAACACCTATAGCAAGTTTCTTTAATCAAGGGATGTTCAGGGCAACACCATGTTTTTTTCAAGATCCATTCGTTAATGATACAGAAAGTAACCACTACTGTATACTATGCTTAAATAAGATTTTATATTATAGGGATTATATATATATAAGGATCAAGCTCCCTTAAGTTGAAGAGATAATTAAAAGTACTATTAAAGATGTGTTGTTGAGCTTTTTTCCTTTTGCAATTACATACACAGATAAACATTTTAGACTCCAGCAGCCGTTTTGAACTGTAAGTGTTTCAAATGAATTGTTGACCGGGGGCCAAACTAAAATATTGAGACAAACATGATTTGCTTGTATTATTAGGACTTGAGCAAGTCTAACATCAGATCAAGATCAACATCATCTATCTAGACAGGAACCTAAAAGCAGACATATCAAATTCTGTGACATGTCACCTATACACTTAACAACCTTGTTTCCAAATCGATGGCTTCATCTGGGTCTTCTTTAATCGCTACGGATGCTGCCATTTCAAACTGGACTTTTCTCTATCGGGAAATTAAATTTCATGCCTTTCTGGTGTTTATTTTATTTACCGGAAGTTGCATGTGCATTTTAACCGCGGAGAAACATCAAAATTATTTTTCTTTATTACTTTAAATACGATCTGATAAGTTGTACTAATACACATATTGTGTTGATAACAGTATCAAACGTTTTATTCGGAAAGGAATATCGTGGCTTTGACATTATTCCATTTACTGCGAAATTGTCCTAAACATGACTGTAATGGCGGACGCACAGGCGCAGGTACAAATGATAACAAAATATATCATCGATAATGCCGTTTATATATGTCTAAAGGATAAACTAACTATTTTTGTAAACATGTAATGTCTTTTATTTTTCAGATTGAACTCAATGAGGGGTACAGATTGCCTGTGCTTCTCAATAATGGCGACGGATGGCGTAAGTTTTGAATATTTCATTTTACACACTTGTTTCAAGGGGAATAACTCTAAAGCCGGTTTTGGATTGTCGGTGAAAAAGTTGTCACGAAATTTTGTTTTCGTAGAAAACGTTTACTATGTTTGCAAAAATGAAATAATTAAGACAGGTAATACTCGGCGATCTTTCTTTGAAACAACGAGTTCCACTGTCACATGATATTTTTTTAATTTAACTGGACAGAAGAGGTTAGTGCCCGATATATACAGTGATATATCACTTTTCATATATATATACATCTGTACGTATCCGGTAAAAAATCTCAGTGCTGAGTATCTTGTACCTGGGCGGAGAGTGTTTAAATCACCTTTGGAAAAAATGACTGAGTAAATGTTCTGAATTGTTTAAAAAGATTTTAAATTTGACAATTTTGCTTCCAAGTTGATCATGTGGTGTTCCTCCATTTCTAGTAAAAGTCTTGAGCATAAGATTTGTTAGGCCAGACAAAAAAAATGTGTTCCTGTAACATGTGGGGCTGCGGTGGACAAGTGGTTAAGGCATCGGATATTCTGGTACCACTATTGACTAGCCCTCCACCACTGGGTTGCGGGTTCGAGACCTACATGGGGCAGTCACCAGGTACTGGTCGTAGGTCAGTGTTTTTTCTCCGGTAACTGTGGCTTTCCACCACCACCAAAACCTGGTACGTCTTTAAGTGACCATAGCTGTAAATAGAACGTAAAACACAAACAAACCAAAGACCAAAAACTATAACAAATCAAACAAATAATTTGATATGGTTTATATAGGAAACCGAAAGTGATCTTGACTTTGAAAGTGCTTCTTTGAAAATTGGCTTTAAAAGTTATTGGTAGGCACACCAAAGTATGGTATGTCGGATTACAGAAAACCACAAACAATTTTTGTTTGGCCTTACACTGCTATCTCTGCTGGGCAACTATATGGCGGACTTTCTGTAGTCTGTCTATGTCCCTCTGAAGGTGAGGGCCCTAGATAGTGAAGCTGTACTCAAGGACAGATATTACTAGGTTATTATAGTCACTAGATTTGAGTATAGTTGGACAACATCGAAGATTATGTTGTAGAAATCCTAATTAGAATAAATATGGAATAAAATTCCTTTCTAGTCTTACTAAAATGGGTGGTCCATCTTCAATCATTGCTTATGCATAAATATTTTCTTAGAATAAGACGATTACATAAATATTGCCAATAGAAGAACTGGATAATTTTCTAGTGGTGTGCTGAATTCCATGAAAACAGAATGAAAAATGAAGATTGAAGTAAGGAAAACCTTTCAAAAATATAAAATTAATATAGAACTGAATGGGAAAATAACATACTGGCGGTAACATGAAAGACTTGTAGCACGTCACTGTTTCAGCTACTCCTAAAGAATAAACCTGTGAAATTTGCATTAAACATACATGTTTTCTGACTACAAGCTTGTTTTAAAGATAATTTCTTATATTTCAGATATGGCAGAGATTCTTGGCAAAAAGGAATTCCAAGGAAAACATCTGTACTACATCCATTATGAAGACTGTATGTACATATTCATTTTACCATATTATTTCTTTTAATCATTATCTCTTCCCTCACCACACCTCCAGGTTCATGAGGGCAAGTGAAAATTAACGTACAGACCAGGGCATTTTTTTTTATTGAATAACATTTTATTCACACCATGCTATTTTATTACTTGACAATTAACAACAACAAAATTGCTTTGTTCCAACAAAAGAAAAACATAATACAGACATAAAATAAAACATAATATAAAAAGGATTATTCCATGATATGTACATGTATGTATGATAATAGGTTTGACCGGTATGTTTTACTCCAGCCAATAACCAGTGCTTTAGAAAGCTTTCAGGGATCAATCTAGGTTTTAGGGGAAATTAACCTTTTCAGATTTGGGGGAAATTAAAATTTGATACAAGGCTCTAGCGCCATGAAGGTAAAAGATAAATGTTTTGTCGGACATACATGTGTGCAGTATATTTCATTTTTTAAACAATTTTAAGCTTAAAATCATGGAATTTCTGTTTTAATTATGTGGAGAAAATGTCTGTATATATATGCAGTATTTTGCATTTTTACTGTTGACCTTTAAAGAAAACATATATAGGGGAAATATTTTGAAGAAAAAACGTCTATTTTCTTGTTGAAATATGAGAATTTTGAAGCACATAGGGGGAATTTCAAAGAACAGGGGAATTTTCTTCTGTAGGGGAAACTACCCATAAATGTGAATCAAGTCTAGATTGATCCCTGGGCTTTGTTCTTGCTCTGCCCCTTAATATACTCATTATACATGTAAAAATTACCCCTTAGAGCAACATTTCCACATTTTTGTTCAATATATGAGATAATTCCAAAAGCTATGGATAATCAAATATATATATATTGATATTTGAAACTGAAATGGTTTCTTTTTGGAAGTGAGAATGGGAATGTAAAAAAATACATTTTTTTCCCTTAACTTTACAATATTTGTCTGTTAAAAGAGAAAAAGTTTTTGGTAAATAACTTTCTCTACAAAATCTGAAATATGTTTCGTAGATCTGCTTAATGCAGATACAGTTTGTTGAATCAGATGCAAAAGAGTTTCATTTTCTGTAAATGTAGTTAACAAACGTCTTGATGAATGGGTGCCAGAGGAAAGGATGGATATTAGCAAAGCAGAGCTTCCAAAGAAAGACCCTAAAACTCCCAAAAAGGAATCTGGAAAACTTGGAGGAGGCGGAGGAGGTGTTGGCACTGGTGCAGGTCCTGGATCTAGGCCTGTCACACCGGAAAAAGAACTATTGGTAATTCTAAAGTGCTATGAATAAAACTATTCATCTTGTAGCCAATTAATAATATTCATCAGTAGACAATTGAGTTTATGAAAATATAGGGTGCATTAAGGCTTTGCAAAAGATGGTGTGCTATAAAGTTTCCTTATATAATAACCCTGACCTGCTTGTAGGTCACAGGTCTTAGAATTGTTTTGACTTGTGCAATTTGAGTGTTTCTGGCCCTCTGGGCCTCTTGTTTGCATTTGCAAATCCCTGTGTTAAGATAAATGAAAGTATTTGGTATCTAATTTTGGATATTTTCATTACAACTGTACAATGAATGTGTTCAAACTCTGTAGATTTCATCTTAGGAAAAGGGTCAATATTTAGATTTGATAAAGTTTGAACCATTGTGTCTTTAAACGGTCAATACCCAGTATTATATGTAAGAATTTATACACCTGATTTAAGTTGTTCTGATTGTTGATTGTAAATGAAAATTTGGACTCGAAACAAATATTGTTGAGAAATATAAGGAAGTACAAATTCATCGCTAGATTTCAATAGAACTCGTCATATGTTACTCTTAATACCCATACATGTTCTTAAGAAAATGACTGTTTTTCCCATTGATTTATTTATTTTTATTTGAATTTATTTTGCAACAGATTACATTTATAAAACCTGACCATTTTTCTCTGAGTAGTATTGATTGGTAACATTTGTTAAAGATGTTTACAGCGTCATTCGCCATTGCCTAATGATTGATTGTTTTACAAAACCCTTTATTGTTCCAGAAACTGTAACCAGCTCCCAACACTACAGATGAGGTGTTTTAAGGCCTGTTTTTGAATTCAACATTTCGAAGTGGTAAAATGTTGAAAGTCACAAGCGTCTTCGATATAATACATTTGTGAATAATATCAAACAGATATTTTATTTCTTTTTCTTAGAATGGCACAGCAATGACATTGTCCTTGTCAAATAAAAAGTCCAGTGTAAACAGAAAACGGAAGGGACTAGATGAGGACTCTAATCACACCATGGTAAGTATTGGACTGTTGTAAGTTAAATTACCTAGAGTTCCTACTGTATTCCTGTAATAACTTTTGAATCAGAATGTAGACCTTACTTTTAATAATATTTGAGGAAAGGAATAACAAGTAAAAAAAACTCAACCAAAAGGTGTTTCACTAGAAAATGCAAGAATCATGATCAAAATTCAATAATTACATACATTTAAAAAAAAAAAAAAATCTGTTTTTAAGTCTGCTAAACAGACAAGTTCCCTATATAATAAAAGGACCATTATCCAAATTTGTCAAGATACATTCTCATCTTACCAAAACAATCCAGTTTGGACCCAAAATCTGTTTCCCAAAGACTTGCTGACTGGAAAAGGGTGTTGTGTATTGGATTATAGATGAATTAGAATAATTGAATTAGCAATGCTAACACAAATGTGTTTACAGTACTTAACAAGTGTATTAATAATTTATTATAAAAGTTATTAATATTTTGTAATTATTAAAAGCAGAAATATAAAGGATGGAACTATCGATGTTCATTAAATGGAAGTTTGTTGGATATAGATGTTTCGTGTAACTCAACCAATTTTCCTGGTAAATAGAATTTTTACAAATTATAGATGTAAAGCTGCACTTTAAGTTTGTTATTTATGTAGAAATTTTATATGTGTGTGTTTGTATTGCAGCAGACAGGTGTTGGACCCTGCCAGATTGGAGATACACCAATACACAGCAGGAACTCCACACCAACTCCAAACCTACAACCACAGACACCTCTTCCCCTGGTAAGTTGACAGCTTCATAAGCAAATGACAAAGGTTTCTTACTAAACATTGCATTTAAGTATTGCATGATATCGGTGGAATCAATTCTTCAGAGATCCCATTTTCCCTCATACCAAAAAATGATGTAGGTAAACGAAAATTCATGATTTGATTATGAAAGCTTTGGTCATTCTTATTTAAACGTGTAGACTGGAGGATTATTTAGGTAAAATTTGAAAAGTTTCATTTGTTAACTTTGTTTGGTGAATGAACCATTCAAGAGTAAAAAATTATGGTCCATTATTAAAAAAAAAATCATCTAGTCATTTCATTAATTTGTTTTTTCTGCAAGGATTGCCAGCTAACATAGGTTGTTTATGTTGCATTTCAGGATCCCCAGGAAGCTCCCTCTGGAGCTAAAGTTCCTCGTCAGACGGGAAGTATGGTGGCACACCATGACGACATCGTCACCAGAATGAAAAACATAGATCTAATAGAGCTAGGAAAATACAGAATAAAACCTTGGTACTTCTCTCCATATCCTCAGGTAAGTTATGGAAAAGTATGTTTCTTTTATCCACACTCTTTGATGATTTGTTCATTATTGATTCTCTCGACATCATCAGCCTACACATAACATTATGTGCATTTTATTCTATAAAAAGCTTGATTTTTAAGGGAAATAACTTTCCTTTTTTTGATTTACACAAAATACATTGAATTTAGATACCTGGATGTTTAAATATTTCATAAAATACTTTTTATTTTCAGGAACTTGCTGGTACTCCTATTGTGTTCACCTGGATGTTAAAATATTTCATAAAATACTTTTTATTTTCAGGAACTTGCTGGTACTCCTATTGTGTTCATCTGTGAATTTTGTCTGAAGTATGTCAAAAGCAATAAATGTTTGGAAAGGCATTTAGTAAGTAAAAATATACATGGCATACATAATTAGATATAATCTATATAAACACTAAAAGTTTTTTTTTTTTTTTTTTTTAATTTTGAAGCAGTTCAAATCATAATATTATGTTGTAGTGTTCTCCCCAGGATTGTTTGATTCCCTAAGTTACTATTTTTTCTGTATATTGTGTTACATTATATTGAGTCCCATTGCATCTAGATCGGGTGTTCAATCTGTTAGATTTGTTGAAATTTCACCGAGAGGGCCTGGCTGAGAAATTGATTGCATGACATGGCAACCTATTAAATGTAACAGGATAAGTGATGCTTAAATGGAAATTAGGCTGCATAGTGGCTCAAACAATATGTGCAACTCTATCACAACATTAAAGTGGTCTGGGAAGAACATTGCATTGCACATGTATGAAAGAGAAGTTTTAAAAATAACTTTTGCATTATCCTCTCCACAAATAAATTTAGCCTTAACTTATCAAGCTTATTCAAGTTGAGACCTCTTGTTTACTGTAGTCTTATGGAATAACACACACCTCTGGGTGAACCTCTGTCAGTGAAGATATGTGGACTAGAATCATTTATATCGGCTTCATTTACTACATTGTAGTACATGAGAAAGTAACCATATCCTGTATTTTCTTTATGTTTTTAGGCTAAATGTCTTTTAAAACATCCACCAGGGAACGAAATTTACAGAAAGAGTAACATATCCTTCTTTGAAATTGATGGGAGAAAGAGTAAGGTTGGTATTTAATGCTTGGCTTCTCTCCTGTGTAGCTACTACATTTTGTGCTACTGTATTTGTTTGAAATAGTCAAATAAATAATCGTACGGCTCCGAGTACCAGTAAGATTTTATTTAAGTGGAGGATGGTAAGTAGAAGGACTTATGATATTGACCACATTATGAGATCTCCCACAGTGTTAGGGATACATGTATTATGGACATGTTAATGATGTGTGCAGTTACAGTAGCCAAAGTCACTAAGAACATTTCATATTTATTGTTCTTAGATTGAAAGTGAATTAAACTGAATAAAAAGGACAATGCATTGAAAGACCAGGACATAACGTAATGACAGTAAAGCATCTGGAATAAAATTGAGTTAGTTAAAAAGAAATTACAGGTTTCAGGGTAGACAGGTATGTTAATAATGACTTGTTTTCTAGATTTTGTTGGTGACACCAGAGCATTTTACAAAAAGTATGATATGTTCTTGAAAATATTATAGTTGAATTGGAACTACGTTCAGTGACAATATTGAATCAAATTTACATTTTGTACCAAAAAAAACTATTCCTTCTCTTTTTTTCCAGAGTTATGCACAGAATCTCTGCCTTTTAGCAAAATTATTTCTAGACCACAAAACCTTATATTATGATACAGATCCCTTCTTATTCTATGTCATGTGTGAACAAGATGTCAAAGGATATCACATAGTGGGATTCTTCTCCAAGGTGAGTGAAAGGAAATACTGTTTATAACTATATATTGTTATGTTCTTATCTGGTACGTCTTAGGGATTTTTTTTCAGTCATTGAATAAGTTGAGTGGTGCTGACAGTAAAAACCACATCAAAATACATATATACCTGTATAACAAATATATGTAGTTGTTTCCAGGCACCCTCATCAATGCCAGGGTCAAAAATTGAAGTCAAAGGTCAAAATTCGGGTATGAGTATAACTTTTCAAAATTGTTGATACTTGGGCACAATGTACATTACCGGTCAGTCTATTGTGTAGATTTTATGTGGACCTTTGACCAAGTACAAGGTCACATTATGTTCATCAAATGATGTTTTAAAGAACTTCATGCACATATGTAGCATTACTAGGCAGGATTGTTTTGTGTATATTCAAGTTTAATGCAACAGGTTGGAAGGGAGGTAAACTGGAATCAGGATGTCCATCTGTCTATGACATATTTTGTCTGAAAGTGTCTGGATAATTTCTCCTACAGTTTCTATCTGAATTTTGTGCATTTATATACGCCCGTCAAATTTGACGGGAGTATTATGGTATGGGTTTGTCCGTCCGGCGTAAACTTTTGTTTGTCCGGCAATCTCCTCCTACATTTTTCAATGGATCTCTTTGAAATTTGGTATACATTATCATCATGATATGAAGTTGTGTCTCCCGATAAAGAATTTTGATTCAACAATTTTTGCAAAAGTTATTGCCCTTTGTTCATTTCAGTATTTGATTTTTTGTCCGGAGGTTTTCTCCTACATTTTTTATTGCATGTCATGATCAGCTTACCACTCTTAGAATGATGCAGATCTTATTTCAATGTAAGAAAGTATATAACACTATATGGCGTTCTACGGGCTTATATTGTTCCGCCCCGCAGTACTCTTGTTCCCATATGTAATCACCACCCAAATATATTTATATAAACGAAACGTGGTACACATGATTTTAACATCAAGAAGTTGTTTCCTTGCAATTCATATTTCATCTCAAATATGTACTGAAGCATATAATAAAAGGGTTTGATATAGAAATTTGATTTTTTCAGGAAAAAGAATCTACAGAGGACTACAATGTAGCATGTATATTAACACTACCACCGTATCAGAGGAAAGGCTATGGGAAACTGCTGATAGAATTTAGTGAGTACAATACTTCTGTGCAGTTTACTTGCCGTATTGTGACAGGAAAAACATGTTCACCTAGTTTGGATATCAATATGCATCATACAATCAATTCAGATAGGTTAAAAGATGATATTCTAATTGATATAATTACATATTAAACTAGATACTGTAGACTGTAACATTTCCCCTACTTTCCTCTTGTTGAATTTGCCTCCTTATCATTTAGATATTACTGAGAAGTATCGGTCAGTGTTTTAAATAATAATAACAATAATAATTTGAGGTTCTTATATACCGCTTTATCACAACCTAGTTCGTAGGTCGTCACAAAGCGGTTCACAAATTATTATCCGTGGTTAAAGACCCTTGCCATTCTATGGCTGAGGGGCACATAGTGTTAAACATGAATGGCCATCCTGTCCTGTCCAGATTCTATGTCATTGCTCTAGAGACTTCATTTCTTAACAGATTTTGATCAAACTTATATAAAGGTAAAGTTCAAGAATATGTAAAACAAAATTTCGAAAGTAAAATGTATCTCGATAGGTTTCGTTATTCAGGGTTACAAGCCTAGCTTAAGGCAAGGTCACTATTACTGTTTGTAAAAAATTGTGTACCATATATATCACTCTAGTGACTTCATTTCTTAACAAATTTTGATCAGACTTCATCCAAAATTCTTGTATGAGAATACCTCAGATAAATTTATATCTCGAGGTACTATTTCTAGATAATTGTCAAACAATGACACAAATTTTCATGATAGCAGTGGCACTTAAAACATTTTCTAATTCTACCCTGTCTAGTTCTATCATGTCTTCTTACATCATAAATATTTATTTCAGGTTATGAATTATCCAGAGTGGAAGGGAAGACTGGTTCCCCAGAGAAGCCCTTGTCAGACCTTGGGCTTTTGTCCTATAGGAGCTACTGGTCACAAACAATCCTGGAAATTCTCATCAACATGAAACCAAGTGAAGGCACCGACCGCCCTATCATCACAATCAAGTAAGCTGACATAACCTTGAAGTTTGATTAATATAGATATAAGCTCCTATATAATAACACTTCAATTAGCAGATCAAACTTACACTGTACATGCACCTGATTTTACTATACATTTCTGAATTGTATGTAGTGTTTGGGATTTGTATATCGTGTTCAGATTTCAATGATAAAATTATGTAGTAGAAATAAGACCCTTGCAAAATTATCGTACAATATATGTACAACAAAATATTTTAAATGTTTTTTTTATTTAAAATGGTTTACAATGTAAATTTAACACTATGTTATCAAAATGTTTGTAAGTAGATGGAATTTGGATCTGACAAGAGATTAGAAATTAAAATGGTTTGATACATCCAAGTTAATGTATGTCATTGCACAAATACTTGGAATAACCTGATGTGAATGATGGTGTTCTACTGAAACTGCTGACTGATACTAGATTAAAGTTTGTGATTTTGGTTTACACTGATAGTGCAAAGATGATAATCCCTTTGTATACCATAGAAACTTGTCCATCCAGAGTGAAATTTGAATCCATGGTGCAATGTCTGCTGCCCATATAAAATTAACAAGTTAATTACAATGTAACGTGGACAACATGTGTAAAATCTCGCTTACAGTTCTGCTTTCACCTTTGTCCACACTTGGTCAGAATATAAATTTATGATATATTAACGGGGACTCCATATACTACAAGTATCCATGGTGGTAATCATCCAAATAACACTGGATTTTCAGCTTAAAGGGGAGGTTGTGTCCCCAACCCCTTCGGGGCAGAATTCAAAATAAGATGTTCAGAAAATCAGTTCCTTGCACCGACAAAACATTGAATAGTAGGTGATGGCACAGGGCCCATGGATATCCTTGTATGGAAAGGTGTGTGCATTGATAGAACTCAAATGTTTTTGAATTCCTGTAAAATACAAGATTTCTTTTCATTTAAAAGATCTTTCCTTAGATTGTGTTTTCATCAAACAAGCTGTTCAATGACTTTTTTCATCTTTTCCAGTGAAATCTCTGAAATGACGAGTATCAAGAAAGAAGATGTTATTTCCACTTTACAACACTTGAATCTCATAAATTACTACAAAGGACAGTACATCATCACATTATCGAATGAACAAATAGACACACAACTCAAGGCCATGGCAAAACGCAAAGTGAGAATAGACTCAAAGTGTCTACATTGGCAGCCGAAAGACTGGAGTAAGCGTGGCAAGTGGTGAGAGAGCGTGGAGGAGCGACAACTTGTGTGAGGGGACCATTTATAGGAGTGCATTGATGCTGGATACTCACTCAATCCTACTGTCAAATGTACAAGCTTTCATTGACTTAGTGAAATGCAAGTTCTATCACTTGTAGCTCAACGTTTTACACAGATTGCACCTTTGTTGTTCTGAATGTTTCTTTGAGGATTTACACAATTAAACAGATAAGAACACTGTGGTTCACACTATTTGTTCAGTCCAGAAAAAATAAAATTCAGATTACATTTTTTTTTCAAAAATTGTGGTATGTATCATTACATGCATGCAGAATATTTTAATATCAGCACATCCGATTGGTATTTAGTCCAAAAGTAAATGGTGTTTTAATGGTGACAGCCTATTATGAAGTGATGCTTACTCTAAATCAGAGTTAACCGACCACTGCTGCCCCAACAAACTATACAGTCACATTAATTCAAAAAGTGAGTAGAATACAGTTTAAAATATCTCATAACTATTTATTCACATTTAAATAAACCAATTCAACAAATTCAAATAACTTCAACCAAACTTAATCACATTTATATACTCACCAAAATTTGGTATTTACAGTAAGTATGGTATGTGTTGATGGATATTTCTATTCATCATGATGTTAAATGAAAACCACCCTGGCTTAGCAAATATTTTGTATGACGAGGGCTATCTGAGGTACTGAAGAGAGGAGGGGAGCAGGAAGGCATGTTTAAATAATAACGTGTATTGTATGAGTCTAAAAAATAATCATGCATATTTGGATTGTAGGTTCCAGGTTCCAGGAAAGAAAAATGTAGAGAGGGGTGAGGATATCAAAATATTTGGAAAAGCCCAAAAATGGCCCTGCAAATCTAAATTTTGCAAGTGGTAATTTGTTTCACTGAATAATCTGAAAGAAACCTTTCCTCACAAAGAGTTTATGGATAAAATGTCAGGCTTGTTTTTTCCCACTTCAGTACACAAAATTCTGCACTAAATCCTGAATTCAAGGACAAACATTTTACTTATTGCATAATTCATTCTCGGACATGAAAGTGTCATTTAAAGCACAGAATACAAATGATCTGGAGGAAGACATAGTATTGAAAATTGTATATAGTAATTTATTGAGGAAGTATTATGTAGGCAATACCAAAAGCCAATATTTTAGTTTCCACATTTGAGTTGGTTTATTACATCTGTTGATGTAAATCAGATTCATGTCCTGTTTTGCTGAAATATATATAAGCACTGTGGTATTAATTAGATTTTCATGAATCCTAATATTTAAGTATTTTTAAGTATTAAAATACCAACCAACCAGCCATACTGGACTTGAAACCCATTATTTCCTAGACTATTTAGATATATATTTCCTTATCTATAAAGATATTAAACAGTCCTTTGCTGAAATAAGGGAAATGTTATTAAGATATATTGATGTTGTGCAATGAATAGTGCATTATCACATTACAAATTTTAAGTTGTAGTTTTAATGCAGTTGTGATAGAATGGAGTGAGTGAGAAAGAATGACTCATCGGGTAAATCTACATGGCTGATGAAGCTAGTAAGGGGTGAAGCATGCAAGAACATTTGTAGAAACATCCTTGTTTTAAAACGTGTGTGTAAAAAGGTGAATAAAATGAAACAAAACAGAGAAGTGTTAATTTTATCTCTACTTCAGCTCTGGCTTTTATTCCATGGAGCATAACAACATCACTGCAGTTTTGTATGCTCAAAGTCATATAGTCGTCACTTTGTGTCTCAGCATCTGAAACAAATGGCTTCTGGATGAAAACCTAAACCTGTGTAAACCAAATTTAGGTGAGGAAAGAAGCCTGGTCACTTTGGGGTCACTATGTCAAAGGTCAAGGCTACAGTGTCTATAAATAGGCTGAATGTTAAGGAAAATGTTGTTTCTGGATGTTTTCACATAAACAAACTTGATTGGCTGATGCTCTTTGAACACGTGTTATCTCTGAAATATTTATAGGAAATATATCCGACTGTAAAATATGTACAATGAAATACATAAAATTGCCTGCATGTAAATCTGGAAGTCTAATTTTCAGAAAAGGTTTACTTAGTACATGAACTTACATGCTCAGTGTACTATTTACACAAAGTGTTTTTTGCTCAAAAGTAAGTTGGATTAGATATTTGATTTTTGCACTGAATCTGACTGATGATAAATCATGTAGCATAAAATCTGTTTAGTGAATACAGACTTTCAAGCTACAAAAGATTTCTGTAATCCATATAATCTGACTGTGTCCAGATTAAGTACTGGTCAAACAGCTCAGTAGGATTATGATCATAACCAAATTGTGTTGATCGTCTTGTGAAGTAACTTGTACAGTCAATCTAGCCGATCTTTAATCTATATAATAGGATTACTGATTGCCTCTTAGTTAAAAGGCAGTAGTAAATCAGATTTGTAGTTACATAGTTTAGCTTGAGAATGTAGTATATAGCCCTTCAATGTTGTTTAGAGTTCAAAGATCTAGAAGGTGTAAGATGGTTCTTCATGCAGAAACAGTAGTTTAACAGAATCAGAATACAGTCTGGTATCATGGATCATTGTGACAGTCCACTTTTTAACAATTTACTCAAATTGTGTGACACTGAAGATATTTCGTCAAATAACAAAGTGTCGGGTATTACAACACCGATCAGTTCAGATGGATCCTACTGTGCATCCTGTGTGAGATTATGGAGGGACAGGAGATACTATAACTGGGGGTCCCTATACACTCGCTCCTCCTTATGTGCCGAATGTCAGAAGGGGCAGGACAGACAGAGTTACATCAGTTACTGGGGCAACTCCAAATACCGTGTAGGGTCCTGGAGACTACGACAAAAATGGATGAATTCAGATTCTGAATGGATGTTTAATCGGACAGAGACTCCAAGGTCAAATGATGCTAGATCAAGGTCTGAACGGAGTACAGAAAGGTCATGGTCACAGGATTTCACACCAAGGTCACACAATTCTTTATCACAGTCAGATCTAAGTGCAAGGTTGCATGATTTTACACAGAAGTCACCTGATTCTATATCAAGGTCAGAACCAAGTGCAAGGTCACAGGAGTTTACACCAAGGTCACGACTAAACCAATACACAGCATATCATACCACCAAAGAATTGAGTTCTGAAGGTAACGACACTGGTCAAAACAAAGGTGGTGAAAACTCTGATAGTGTAGATATTTCTATGAATTCTTCTCAGTCAAGTTTCAGTTCTTTGAAAAGTCCACAAGAAAGACGTCCTAGAAGCAAGAGTCCATGTCTACAAAAAGTGAATATTGCTTCCAGAAAACAAATGTTTGAGCCTTCAAATGATGTCATAAGTCATTCAGGAAGGACAGCTACCGATCACTGCAGCAAGGATGAACCAACTGCAGCATGGCCAGATATTCCTAAGCTGAATTTGAATGACTTAGATGTCACCCCATACAACAGTCCTGTGTATCACTTTCCTCTGACACCTAAACACATCCCAACTGTAGCAAAGCCGAACCGCTGGGTTGGATAGTAAGTATAATCACATTAGAAACATGATGTATCCTTGATGGTTTAAGCACCATCGTGTTACTGAAATTCATGTGTATATATATAAGCACCTGTTCCATGTAATCTCTTACTGCTGTGTATTGTTTAATTTTTCTAACAAAAAATCCACCTCAAAATAACATTTCTGAAATGCACTTCAAGTGACCTTGACCTTTGACCTTTACAAAGTAGCTCTGATGCTTATTTTTGTACATATATGTAAACCTTTCAGCTTGTAAATTTGACATGCAATCCTCAGCTTCTGCGGCCTTCCAACAAGTTCCTTATCTTCTGGTGAATAAATACAGCAGTTCATATTATATTCCACCTCTTACTTTATGAATTATTAAAACCAGAGGCCAAGAGGGCCTGTATCGCTCACCTGGATATCTAAGCAATCATGGCAAAATATTCTCCAAATGATATCCAAGGTAACATGCCAGACCCCAAGACCAATCCTTGTAGCATATCTGTATTAGATTTTTCATGCCCAGCAATTTAATTTATGGTTATGGGGTGGGGATCTCAACTGCTTCCAAGCTGTGACTCGTTTAGAAACTAGGTCCCTAGGGTTGTGGCCAGACCCCAGGATCAATTCTAATATCATGACTGCATTCCTCTCTTTATGCCCAACAATTGCATATATAGTTTTGGGGTGGGGATTTTAATCATTTCAAAGTTATGACCCAGGGGTTAAGTCTCCAAGGGTGGGGCAGACCCAAACGCCATCCTGGAAGCATATGTGCATTCATTTCTTTATACTCAGCAATTGTATATATGATTATAGGGTAGGGATCTCAACTGTTTCCAAGCTGTGACAAAGAAACTAGGTCCCTAGGGGTTTGTTCAGACCCCAGGTTCTATTCTAATATCATGACTTCATTCGTCTCTTTATGCCCAGCATTTGTATATATAGTTTTGGGGTGGGGATCTCAACCATTTCAAAGTTATGACCCAGGGACGATGTCTCCAAGAGTGGGGCCAAACCCTAGGGCCATACTGGAAGCAAATGTGTATTCTTCTTTTTACACTCAGCAATTGTATATATGGTTGTATGGTAGGGATCTCAACCATTTCCGGGTAATAAATTTGTTTGGCCCCACCCCTTAACCGTAGCAATATAGCCAAATTACCCCCTTTTGGCCCCGCCCCTCAGCCCCACTATTTGTTCAATTTTGAATCCCTGCCTCCCATGAATGCTTTAGATCAAATATGATTGATAATCCATGGCAAAAGTCTACAGAAGAAGTCGTTAATAGCAATATAGCCAAATTGCTCCCTTTTGGCACCACCCCTCAGCCCCCTGGGGGATCAGCCACAGCATTTGAACAATTTTGAATCCCCACCACCTAGAGATGCTTCCAGTCAAATTTAGTTGAATTCCAATCAGTTGTTAAGAAGAAGAAGTTGTTTAAAGAAATTGTTGACGTACGTATAGACGGACGGACGCACTACGGACGCCAAAGTATGGCATAAGCTCACCTTGGTCCTTCGGACCAGGTGAGCTAAAATATCAACCTCGTAAAAGACATCAATATTGTGTGCAGAAATTACATATGTTTTTGACAGTCAATTTTCAAATGATTAATTATATACTGAATTAGATACTGAATTATTGAAAAGACTATATTGCAATATTAGACCTTGCTAACATACCAAATACAAGTTAGAGTTATGAACCTATGAAGTCCTAATGTTTACTCCAGTGGCTACTTCGTGGGGACAGCGGAGCTGACCAGCGACACTGGACATCTGCTGTGGGTTCGACCACGTGGTGACCTCCAAGTTATCTTCAGATATGCAGACACTGGACAGGATTTCAAGTAAGATGCCTATACAGCATAAACTGTTCTACATTGGTAAGACTGTTCTGGATATGCAAAAGTTTCTTATCCCTCCAATTCCATATGTGTTTTATCTTCAAAATGTACATTCTTGGTAATCAACATATCAAAATATCCCTCTGTGGTAAATTTTAGTAATGACAGAGTTTGGCATAACCGTATTGTTGTGACCTTTGAACTTTAGATAATAGAACAGCCTCATTGTATAACTTCCAGGTGCTTTGTTGATCCCCAGTACACTGGTGTCCGACTTTGCCAGAGGAAGCCAGATGGAGAGCTCGTGGTCATACTAGACAGAAAAGAGAGTCCACAGCATAGCCACCAGGTGTCGTCCAGAACTCGTTATCCGCCACAAAGCAACTTCAAACTGGTGTCCTATCTGGGCAGGATTGAGCTAATACTTCAGGCTGTCAAAGACAATTCTTCACCGAACAGTCAAAGATTTAAGATCAATTTTACAATGACCTTGTGATACACTTAATGCTTCTATAAAATATCTATTGTCTTGATATGGCTCAGTGACTTTCAAAATGAGTATACATTTGGTAAAGGCAAAGAGTTGAGTAATGAAAGTTACACAAAATTGAAAATGAATATTAGTTTCGTTGTTATTTTGCAAATTTTAGTTTAAAACATGTACTCGGACATCTAAAAACCGATCTCAAATAATTTGTTGTGGTTCCTGTTGGATATTTTCTTTTAACATAACTGTGCTAACTAGCTATGCCGTTTAGTTATTATAATTCACAGATTTAAAAGAAACAACATGATTAAAGCTAAAAATGAAACACTCACAACTTAACAGGTAAGCACCATACAATGTTATGGTATTCATTCAGGTAAAGGAAATAAAAGAAGATGACAATATGATTATTGTATATCTTTATTTTCTTTGAATGATTAAAATTCTTCTGGAGTAAATAGTACTTGAAAAATAATTTAGATAGGTCAAAATGATAAAGAATAACTAAGACAATAACAATGTTGAAAAGCTATAAATGATATTTTTTTAGTAAATATGTAAAGCAAGAAATGTGGCATTTACTTCTATAAAGTAATTTTTTCAACAGACAGCAGCAATCTGAACACCTTTGTATGTATATAAAATGTGTATATGTCAATTTTTGCTGTATTAGGAGCAATGACCTACTTAATAACCTAATTCATCCCCCTAACCTTAATAACCTTATTCCCATTTTCAGCTTTCGTTCCTCTAGCATTATCCCCACTTGATGACTGTACTTTAAAGAGATCCTGTTCAAGATGCTCGGAAGAATTTGACATGATTAAAGTGCTAAGGACATTTACAGTATTAATCCTGCTATATGCCAGAAAGCCACCATCTCTTAGTCAAATGAAAAGACTGTAAAAACATTGAAATACAAAAAAAATGTATTTAACTAATAAGCACCTTTGGACTAACAATTTTAGTTGAGAATATTAGAACCATTAGGGAGCTTTTGAAATGTTTGAAAAGCTAAATTGCCATAATATTAGATTTATTTTTCTAATTAAGTCCATAAAAATGGTAAANATTTATTAGGTCTAATGTGGTATCTTATGCTATCTGTGAAAATTAATCTGATTCAAAATGTGAAACATAAGCATCACCATTTGTACTGCAAAAATATAAATCAAATTAAATTCTTGATTAGGGTATATTGTTGTACTCAAAATCTCCCTTATTAAGTGAGGGTAACTTGATGACTGTTTTTCACAATCTTTGGACTAGATTCCTCCTTTATCACACACTGAGAATAGGAAATAAGTCATATGTACACAAACTTTATGGGAAGATGATGGTAAAAACAGCTGATTATCATCATACAACTCCTATATTATCATCATACAACTCCTATATTATGACAAGAATATGGCTATAGAATATTTTGTCACATGTATAATTAATTGGGCTATTTCTAAATCTTTCAATTGAGACATCATAGAAAAATTAATTTACATAAATCTCCTGATGGTGAGGATAAGGTTCAGGAAAATGTTCATTTTTTTCTTCTTCTAAATTTGCATATATTATTGGCTACACAATTCTTTAACTATTCACAAGAGATTTATTAAACACAAGCTTGAACACTTTTAACTTGAGTTATGTGAATGCCAACTCATTAAAAATCCTTTCTGGATGGCAGTACATGTAACTACAGTATTATATGGCAAAAGGAAATTACAAACATATAAACACTATAAAAGTATATATCAGCATAGATAAGTGATACTGAGACATGTTAATGTATGAATCACCAGTACCAAAACAATAAGTAAAATCATTGCATGATAATTTATAACAAGAGACCCATGGGCCTTAACGTGCACCTGAGTTATGTAAAAACAGATGTTATAGATGTTGCCAAATGAAAAAGAAATCATTTTGTAACAAAGGTAACTTGAACTACATGTAATGCAAAAGTAGTGTGAAAGATCTGGGTAGTACAAATAGTGGTTCTGTCAGTCAGCTGAATTTTGGTAAAGAACCTTAAGACCCTTCCATCTACGAAGAGTATTAGATTCTACTATATCTGGATCTTGAGAAGAGGATTTTTGAAATTTTAGTGAATTTGACCCTTTTTTGGCACCATCCCTCAGGATCCTGGGGGCTGGGGACCATATGATTCACAATTAGACTATAGTAAAGTTTACCCCCTCCCCAAGGGGAAACGTGAGACCCCAGGGTCATGAAAATCACTATTTTGGTAAAGCACATTAAGACCCTTCCATCTATGAAGAGTATTTGATTCTACCATATCAGGATCCTGAGAAGAAGATTTTTGAAATTTTAGTCAATTTGACCCTTTTTGGCCCTGCCCCTCAGGCCCCTGGGGGGTTGGGACCATATAATTCAAAATTTTGGTTGACCTTTGGCCATGGAAGGTTTCTGCAAAATTTCATTGAAATTGGTTCAGGGGTTTTGGAGAAGAAGTCGAAAATGTAAATTGTTTACGGACGCACGACGCCGGACAAAAGGCGATCGCAATAGATCACTTGAGACTTTGTCTCATGTGACCTAAAAATCATAATAATCAATTGTATACAAAATATTATTTAAAGATAACAAGCAACATTTTTCATAATTTTCTGTTAATCATGGCCACAGGGATATGTGCAGGAGGAGATAACAAACACACTACATACTCGTATACTCTTACTCGCCACCACACCTGTACAAATTTTACACTCAACTGTCAAAAGATGACAAACCAAATTGATAAGATCTTTAAATAAAGAATGGAATGACTTGCAAGAGATCTATCACACAAATTTCTTTACACATAACATATTGAGTAGTTAATTGTGTTATCCATTATGTTTGGTATCACACATCAACTTTGGATGTCCTGATCATGTTGGCGACTAAAACATAGTGTTTAAATCAGGTAGTTCAGACGTCAGGTTAGTTTTTTCAGGAACGAGGACAATTGGAGAATATCTGAATATCTTATGTCATTATGACACAGTATTGGAGATTAAAATAGGCATCTGATGGCTAACATGCTAGGTCAGCTTGTCAGAGAATGAGATCACTGCCCAATTTCCATTGATCATCCACTTGTCATCCTTAGCCTTCACTTCATCTGCCTGACCGCCCCTCAACCCAGTCACAGTATCACTCTTGCAGGCCCTTAGGGCACACAGGGGAGCAGGCTGGAATCCCCTCAGACTTGTAGTGAATTGGGTGGTGAATGGCCAGGCAAGATCTCCAACAAGCTTTCTGTAATTTAAATCCCCCTTGAGAAAGATAAAGTCGCTTTTGGCCAACCTTGCATAGAGATCTGGACAACGTGATTCCATTTCATTGAAAGGGAAAGACAAAGTCCAAAAGTCATCAACAGCAACTTGCCAGGTTTTATCTTCTAAATATTGCTTCCATTTACAAGCAAGCTTGGACATGTATATGCTGTTTGAGGCACACAGCTGGTTGATTGTCCAATCAAAGTCATATGGAGTCACGTCTGAAACAAACCATGGAAATGCTTTTTCATGGAAGCAGACCTTTGAAGCTAGGCCAAAAGAGATGAGAAATTCAGCAAAGCAGAGATCTGTAACCAGTTCAAACCCTGCATTGTCCAAAATTATATCAACACAGGCAGGATGACCTTTGGTGACCTTTATTCCCTGAAGACATTTGAACACATCCTTGGTGTTGTCTATCAGAATTTTGGGTTCAAACTGGTGTAGCTGATCCAAAGGTGAAGACCTTTGTGCAACGTCTTGACCTCCGGATATGGACAGATCACATTTGTTTCCCCACAATGACACCTGTAAGTAGAAAACATTTCCCCACAATAACACCTGTAGGTAGAACACCTGCTGGATATGGACACATCATATTTGTTTCCCAAAAGGACACAATTAGCTGGAAAAATTATTTCATTAGAGTTGAAAAGGCACTAGAGAGGTACAACATACAAGAAACTTTAGATATTGAAACATGCAACCTTGATTGTCTGAAAAATATAAAAAAAAATCTGAACTTTTATTTCCCTTTAGGGAAGCATTGATTATATTAAGAGAAAATCTTCCTTGTACCAGGAGCTGTTAAGGAGTTAACTCATGGGGGTCTATTTTTTGGAAACTTACATGAACAACATATCAGAAGTTTTTAACATGTCCAATTTCCTCTAACCAAACAAGATCAACATTGCTACAAGGGGTAATGGGTATAAATTGTACAAGGATAGAATGTGCGTCAAATAAGGTAAACTCACTCCTTCACAGAACTTTTGATTTTGGGTACAAACTGCCAACTGAGATTACAAGTTTCCTTAAGGTCATAGGAGTGTATTGATGAACGGAAAAAGGAAGTACATCCCTAGTTGAAAATCCAATGTAGGGAGACAGTATCACAATTTCCGCATACTCTAATGTTTAATATTAAACTGCTAAATATTGTATGTTTATTATTGACAGTACAGTGTATTCTCTCAGTATTAAAATGTTTCAAAGCAATCCAGGCATTAATTCAGTTGCTTTTTTATCAATGAGTCCCATGTGTCCATTTTTCTGTACTTCAGGAAACCGGCTACCTATTTCACTACTGTGAAGTTTTTCAAGAAAGATAACTCTTTACATGCAATTACTATGTGTACATGGTTTTATTAAAAAAATATCAATTTTTAATCGTTTATAGATAATAAATTTTACACAATTTAGGCATTTATTAAATTGATATACATTAATGCAATACTAATCTATGTCAGTATCATTTTTATTGACATTATTTTGCCAAAAATTGTGACTTTTTTTTTTCTAAATTCACTCCTTTTTACAAAAATTTCCATTTAAAATCCTTAAAATTCTGACAACCTGTATTTTTTCGTGGCAGAAAATTATCTTTACTTCAAAGCAATATAACTACAAAATTTGAAGAAATTCTACCGAGAAATGGTGACACAATCCTATTACCTTAAGGTCAAGCTTTGTTGTGTCCTGGTACTTACCCTGAGAAATTTTTCAAAAAGACTTTTCAAATCCACTTGTTTCCCTGATTCTCCTTCTGTTTCTACATTGTGGAGGTGTTCCATCAGCACTAGTATAGCTTGTTGGGAATCGAAGAATGATTTCTCCTTCTGTTCACGGAACACATCAAAATCTTTCAATGTTTTGCTGGAAAAAAATCAATATTTTCCAATGTAGAATGTTTTCAGAATATAAAACAAATTACATGTAATGTCTTTTTGACAATTGTTTAGTTTAAAGTGTCTTTTTGTTTCTACAGTCTGAATACATCATCAGATGTAGAGGAAACCAAGGCCTCCTCCATTCAATTATTTCAACATACTGTATACATATATATGCATGTATGGGTCAAAGAAGTAATATAGACGGTAAAATCCCATATAACACTGGATCCTAATGGAGGTATGTCCGTAGGATACGAATGACTTTGCCCCATAAAAATGCATGTATATATAATGACATCCGTCAATCATTTTCTCAAATGTGTATGCTCTCTCTTCATGAGGATGGGCCCTCCAATAAAAAAAAAATGCATTTATTAATGAGATGGATTACCATACGCTATATTATTTTCACCGCAGTTTAAATTTCATCTTTTTTACAACCCCCAATTATGGGTAATATATCATTTCAGCAAACATTAATTAACAAAATGATATACATTGAAACAAATGTAATGGGCGAAATTAACACTGCATGATTATGGATAGTATTAGAGAAGGGCATAAGTTAGACTGGGTAAAAGTTTTTCAGTATAAAGTAGTGTATAGTTTTCAAAATGTTTATGCATGACAAATTAAAGGGAGACAATCAAATTTAGTTTTTACTATAACTAAAATTCTTTAATTATGCATGACAAATTAAAGGGAGGCAATCACATTGAATTCTTACCATAACTCAGCAGCCTCTTGGACCCTGCGGTACATGTAGCATTCTACATATAACCATGGTGATTCAAACCACTTTGGAGGAGATCCTGTGGTTGTAATGATTTCCTTCAAGTGATCATTCCACACTGGTACATCAGAACGTCCATCTTGTATCGGAACTACAGGTTTGTTGGTTTGAACTTCATTACGTAGTTTTGAAATACAGCCAGCAACAGACTTCAGATCTTCTGTTCCCTCCTGTATTCAAAAATACTTCATCTTTAATAGAAATCAATCTTTCTTTTATTCCATTCTACATACTTTTATCCTTTTAAATGATATGTAATCTGATACAGGAAAGCTATAATTTCTACCAAAATGCATTTTCATTCACAATCAAGGGTACCATACATGGGGATCTCAACTGTTTCAGAATCCATGTTATTAAGAGCCAGGGACTACCAGATAAGTTACCAGAAGCGGACCAGACCCCTGAGCCAATCATGGAAGCATAAATGTGTTCATTTTTTCATGCCTAGCAAGCACCTACATGGTTACATGGTGGGGATCTCAAAGTGTATTTGTCTCACATGTTCAAGAATGGAATGAAAAATCATGTATGAAGTAAGATCTAGGGCTGTAAGTGTACTTCCTATTTTGAAATCCTTATGTAAATGTACACTGTACAGTCATACCCATAAGTATTAAAATCATACGAAAATATATTTTGGAAGCACATGTATTTGATATTTAAAACCATGACAATACTCTGTAAAATCCTTCACTCAATCATTACGAAAATGACTTTTTAAGCAGATATGTGTATCATGATACTTATGTTATTGTAAGCATCGTAGCATGGTTTGTATCGTATCATGAGGTAGGCAGATCATTTCAGCCCAAGAACTAACCAGTTTAACATATAGAGATAATTCTTTTAAAATTTGTAATTCTATGTGAGGGTGAGAAATTGTATTTCAACAATATTTCAGGAAACATTTCTCATGAAATGAAGAACACTCATTAATAAATTTTGTGATTCCTTAATTCCCTTTAAAAAAAAAAAAAAGCTATAAAAATATTTAAACCTTCACTAATTCATTTATTTTATTTTAACAAGCTGTAAAAGAAAGTTATAAAGACAGTTACCTGCAAATTTTCTTTATGTATAAGTAATATTATCCTTTTCCCCGTTTTTTCCCCAATGATTGAACAACATACTATCAGTACTGTATCAAACATAATGCAAACCTGCTGTATTTTAATAGGACACAAGCGCTTTCTTTCAAATAAAAGGGTTGCAGTCTTTACCTATGTCTTGACAGTAAATGTTACATGTAGCTTTATGACAGCTACTTACCATAGACCCAGCCAATATGTTCATGTTTTTTTTTATTATTCTGGTACTTACTGTTGTATTTCTTATGCTGGTTGTGACTAGAAAGTTCTAACCTAATTTGATATTAGAAGAAAATTACGAAGTGTTTAAAATTCATTGTACCCGTAGTATAATTATAACTGCTGTACACTGTGGGAACATTCCATCTCAACTTATCATATTTAAATGCTATTGACGGCAATAATAATTAACATGTTACAATAAGCAAAATGATACTTATTAATGTTTAAAAGTGATTTTTGTAATACCCTTTTAGTTCATTTAAGGTGGTTGCAGCATAGTTTCAGCCTCCAATAATGTCATTGTGCACTATAACTAGCATTTTAATTATACATTTCTTTCAACACCAGTATTACAATTCTCTTAGGTTGACAGGTATGAAAAGATCACTTGATTCATAAATAAAATGAAACTCACAAACTTGAAGTAAAACATACCTCGCCATACGTCTCTTTAATTTTCCCCTTTAACCTATAAACACTGTCTGCAATCTTGGACAAGATCACAGGCAGTCTGTCTTTTATGGTAAGGTAAGCAAAGGAACTGAAAAATACAACACAACTCATTCATCATATTCAGATTAATGAGACATATTATTTCAAAATTGTGTGTTAACCTAGCCTGGGTTTCCTCTGGTCTGGTGTGCCAGAAATCTATATGTCAAATTGTCTAAGCCTGGTGTCAGGGCCAGAGAAAACTCAGGCTAGTGTTTACCATGCTATTTAATTGTGATAAGTGACAAAATGTCCTTGATGATTAATATGTCAGAGCCTATAATGCATGGAAAAGAATGTATTCCAGATACAATTTACGTCACAGAGACCTCTGAATATAGTCACATTATTCAGTGTGTATACCAATACAATTACTGATACAACCATCTTCAAACTCCAAGGGTTTCACTTCAATGCACATATATTCTCTGTACCCTTGAAATATGTCCAGACAAAATTAAAGGCTCAAGGGTTAGCCATTTGATTGGTTTCAGACAAAAAATAACGGCTATTTACTTTATGCTGATAACTGTCCTTAGAAATTACAAAGGAGCTACACTGAAATGAAAAGGAATCAATTTAACCGTTATGCTGCTGTACAATTTTTTTCATCTCATGGGCCTCTCCTTTGCATTTTCTTGTTTACAGTTTCAAATCACCAATCATGTTTACTTTCTCAAATGGTGACCACCTGCATGAGACCTATCATTTCAAGGAGATTACAGGTATTCAAGATTTTGTAACTTTTTCCAAACTAATGAACTCTTATCGTTCACAAATTGGTGTATACAGAGTCATAATGTTCGTCATATGACATATTCCAAGCATGTAGAGAACATTCTGGATGGGCTTATTACCGAGCATGGGCTTATCACCGGTTAATTACAATAAATAATAATTATTAGAGTACAGAGACATACCAGGGTACTGTTAATTATGCTATATTGTCACAAGGCATATATGTTATCATTTTAACACGTGTTTCTATACCATTTATCATTAAGAACAAGATCCTGGTTGATGACTTAACGTTTTTGACAAAAACAAAATGCATTTTATCATATAAATGTTAAATATATTCTATCGAATTGTAGGAAAGGTATTCAATTTATATTACTGAAAGTTCAGGTTTTGAGAAGCAAATATATTTATATAAATGACAAACTTTTTATCCTTCGCCGATAGGGGAGGCGCCTCTACTGTTCCACTCATCGCTTTCGCTTCGTTTTGCTTGGTCTTGTCGATGTATTTCAGACGCTTGTGATCTTCGCCTACTTCCCGTATCAAACAAACACTTTTTACATTAGGATCAGACACCGGCTACTTCCTGTCCCAATCACGATGTAAACAAAACGTGAAGCCTACATATGCCTGCATGTCCTAAAATGGAATTGACGACAAAGATCTTACATGACCACCCACAATATATGGAAGAATGCGCAGGCATTCTAAATGAGGAGTGGCCAAGAAGTAAAACGGCGAGGTGGCGTATTCAACCAAGTTTTGCTAGCGTAGCTCGCTCATTATCAGATTATATTTAGCCAATACCCGAGGGAAAGCCAAGGGCTCGTTACTATAAAATATAAGCACACAAATTCGTATGTTTAGGTGTGCTGTTACCCATTTCAGTACTGCAGGAGGATATGCATATATAATATTATATATGTATACACATCATTACGCTGCACATAATACTCGAAAGAGGGTGTTGCATAATATATAGATAGATAGATATTACTATTAGTGTGTCCAGCACCTGTGAGCATAATTGAGGTATTTGTTACGAGCCCCTTTGATCTAACTTACAACTGCTAAAACTGACATTAATCACAGGCTCCAAAAGTCTGATCTGTCGCCTGTTTATGATCCATACACAGGCGACAGATCAATTTTTTTGAGTAGATTTCAAACAATAGCTGTTGTTTTTAGATATCAAGAAACCGATTTTTTCAATATTAAAAATTTTGACATTTTGATATTAAGGATGCGATATAATGATATAAAGAAATGTATTTATGGGTATTTTTGGCCATAAAGCCACTGGACCAGACAGCATCCTGACAAGGGTCCTGAAGGACATTGCACTAGAAATTACCCCGTCCTTCACCAAACTTTTCCAAATTTCACTAGACTCCGGTGAAGTGCCGAAGGACTGGCGCGAAGCCCATATTGTCCCTGTTTTTAAAAAAGGAGACAAACAGACTGCTTCCAACTACCGCCCAGTATCCCTCACAAGCATCACCTGCAATTTACTTGAACATATTATACACAGTAACGTCATGACCCACCTGGCCCAATTTGATATCCTGACTAAATACCAACACGGCTTAAGATCCAAACACTCCACTGAATCCCAATTGATACTTACCGTTGATGACCTCTGTCGAAATTTAGAAAGTAAAACCCAAACAGACATAGCCCTTTTAGATTTTTCTAAAGCGTTTGATAAAGTCCCCCATGAACGACTCCTGACCAAGCTAAACTCTTATGGTATAAGAAACAACACCCTCTCCTGGATAAGATCATTTTTACAATCTCGTGATCAGCTTGTTTTACTAAATGGTGTTAAGTCCGAGACGGCCCCTGTACTATCTGGGGTGCCCCAGGGGACGGTGATTGGTCCTCTGTTATTTCTAGTCTATATTAATGACATCGTAGATTCAGTGAAATGTAAGATCAAGCTATTTGCAGATGACTGTCTCCTCTACACAGACATCAAAACACCTGATGACTGCAAGGCTCTACAAACCGACCTTGTCAATCTACAGGCATGGGAGGACAAATGGCAAATGAACTTCAATGCCAGTAAATGCTGCTTTATAAATGTCACAAAAAACAAAGTGCCCATTAAGAACAACTATACGTTGCACAATGAATCACTTGAAAACGTTCCTGCCAGTAAATATCTCGGAGTCACTATCACCTCTGACCTGAGTTGAAGAAGTCACATCAACTCTACCTTAAATAAAGCCAATAATACCCTAGGCTTTTTATGACGCAATATGTCATCCTGCACAAAAAAAGGTAAAGGAACAGACTTACACCACCCTTGTCAGACCTACTATTGAGTATGCGTCGACTTGCTGGGACCCGTACACTGCAGACAATACTATGCTGCTGGAGTCAGTCCAACGTCGAGCTGCTCGATATGTACACAACGACTACAGGTCTAGAGATCCCAGCTGTGTGACAACCATGATCCAATCACTAAATTGGGAATCTTTAGCACAACGTAGAGCAAAATCCAGACTAACCATGATGTACAAGATCATAAACGGGCACATCGCTATTCCATCAGCCGAGTACCTTACTCAAGGGGACAGGAAAACAAGGGGGGCTCACAAATTCCATCAGATCACAACCGCATCAAATCAATACAAATATTCATTTTTCCCCCATACTATCATCACCTGGAACTCTATACCCACAGACATCGCCCAATCGCCTGATCTAAATTCATTTAAATCAGCAATTGCAGGCTTCAAACCTTTTCCTCTATACTAACTTCATGTATAATTTTGGTAAAAAGTTTGATCATATACGAAAAAACATAAGTTTTTAACTGCCACCTCTAGGAACCTCTCACAGTGACAATTGCGCTCCATCAAGGAGATCTGTCACTTAATGGAAGATGATGATGATGATGTATCAAGAAATAAATTTGATTTCATGTCATTTACTTCCATGTGTTTTCTGATATCAAGAATTAAATTTGTAGATATCAAGAATAGATTTTTAGCTATATCAAAAATTACAGCTTTTGAGATTTTAGAAAATATTTTCTAATTCTAACAAATCAGTTCTAGATATCAAGAAGTTGGATTTATGATATCATTAGATATTTTTCTATATAAAGAATTACATCACTTGATATTAATAATTCACTTTCAATGTCAATAAATTGATTTCTTGATATCTAAAATTGGAGTAATTGTTCGATGGCAAAGAAGACCTGTGGCAATGTTTCTCCTCTTGTTTTTGAAATATACATTGTATTGACACAGCATAAAGTTTCTTCTTTCAATATTGTTAGAACAAATCAATTAAGTTATCATAAAAAGTTGTTTTGAATGGATATTCGACTAAGGAAGGGAGCATCATGCACCCAAGGATGCTCCAGGCCAATTTATATCAAAATTCCTTTACTGATAATCAAGGAGTAGGATTTTAAAGAATTACTTCTATTTCTCCTATTGGGCCTAAACATCAGGTCACAACATCCAAATCTGTTCAAGTGAACCATGCCACACAGAATCATGCCCTATTTGTCCTGTAATGTTGTTCAGATAAAGGAATATTTTAATCCGTAGAGGCCTTTCAAGTTTGCTCAAATAAATCGCTTAGTTCAAATAAATTACCTTGATCTACATTCAAGGTCACATGTGTCCTGTATTAAAAGGTTTTAAAAAATCTTCTGCAGAACAATACAGCTTCCAGTCAAGATATTTGGACTGTAGCTTGCTTGAGGTTAGGGCTTTTCAAATTACCTTAACTTCTCTCTAAGGTGATAATACAAATCAGGCAAACATTTAATGCCAGCAACTCTCTTGTTCTTTGGGGTAAACTTTAAATTAAATATCTTGTTTTATAAACACAAGACAAAGAACAAAATCCATATTTAGTATCTGTGTATGATTTCAGGCTCCACAGTCTTCAAAAGTCGAATGACAAGTTCCCAATTTGTCTAGTACTGGTCAGTAAGGAGAAGGGGAAAGAACTTCTGTTGGGTCACAGCAAACTTTCTGTTGTGTATGGAAAAGAGAAATGTTGCCTGATAGAATCAGGTAAGAATGTATCTGAACATTTTCTTCAGGTTGGTTAAGTATGGATTATGAAAAGTTCTTTTTACACGACCAATAAAATTTGTTACGTGACATTTCGATGACTAGTACGATATGTACACTGTCACCTTCATCAGACAAATGACCAGTGAAGCGTATGCACTCAAAGGTGTAACATGTGTACGAGTTGTCCCCAAAATCGATGTAGATTTCGGCTACACTGTAAGCGTATGTACAATAGTTGTTATATATGTACCGGAATGACTCGATTCAGCTACGCTTTGTAGACAACTCGTACACATTTTACACCTTTGTGTGCATACGCTTCACTGGCCATATACGTCACATAACAAATTTTATTGGTTGTGTAAAAAGAACTTTTCATAATAAAGGTAAGAAGGTAAATATATTTGTATTTGTGACATTGCAAAATAGAGAAAAAAAATCATTATTTTGAAACTGATCCTATAATGATAAACCATTATGTATTCTGGTAATGGAGTGTCCCAGCATGCTATTCGTCACTCAGAGTTTCTGATATGTTTATTAATATTTTTATTGCTGCACAAAACCTTTCCTAAATGTGCAAAAAGTTAATATGTATATTTTGAAACAAATCATTGAAATCACAACTAACGACTTCAAAGCAATTACTGGCATGGTAATAAATGAAAATGCTAAGATTATTATTAATGAATCGTGCAAAGAAATTTATTCCCACTGGAAACCGGGTAGTATGTTGTTATATTTGTCATATGATTGTTATTACATGTCAGCTAAGCAGGTTTTTAATCCTCATGAAATAAAGTTGATTATAACATACTCCGTGTTAGTGACATGGTTATGAAATTTTACCATCATCTCTATAAATAACAGTATGTGTGAGAAAGAACCTAAGGGGAAAAGGATATGGGAGAGCTATCATGGATGAGGCAGAAAAGTTTGCCAAAAGGTTTGTAGTTTCTTAACTATATTCATTTCTTACTAGTATTACTTAAAATCTTTTTTCTGTGAATAGAAAATTAAGCCTTTACCATTTAATGCTAATTCCTAATTGTGTATTGAATACTTGTTGTATTACATGAAATGAGTAAGACAACAGACACATCATAACTATGTATTGTTGACATATCATTTTATGCTACCAGTAATATTTCAGTAAAGTTTAAATAAACTTTGTTATATGTGATGATCTCTGTTTACAGTCGCGATTACTGCACCATGTACTTGACGACACACGATAAACAGGACTTCTATAAACACCTGTATTTATAGACTATGTTTTATCTCTGTTTACAGTCGCGGTTACTGCACCATGTACTTGATGACACATGATAAACAGGACTTCTATAAAAACCTGTATTTATAGACTTTGTTTTATCTCAGTTTACAGTCGTGGTTACTGCACCATGTACTTGACGACACATGATAAACAGGAATTCTATAAACACCTGTATTTATAGACTATGTTTTATCTCTGTTTACAGTCGCGGTTACTGCACCATGTACTTGACGACACACGATAAACAGTACTTCTATAAACACCTGTATTTATAGACTATGTTTTATCTCTGTTTACAGTCGCGGTTACTGCACCATGTACTTGATGACACATGATAAACAGGACTTCTATAAACACCTGTATTTATAGACTTTGTTTTATCTCTGTTTACAGTCGCGGTTACTGCACCATGTACTTGACGACACATGATAAACAGGACTTCTATAAACACCTGTATTTATAGACTTTGTTTTATCTCTGTTTACAGTCGCGGTTACGGCACCATGTACTTGACGACACACGATAAACAGGACTTCTATAAACACCTGTATTTATAGACTTTGTTTTATCTCTGTTTACAGCCGCGGTTACTGCACCATGTACTTGACGACACACGATAAACAGGACTTCTATAAACACCTGTATTTATAGACTTTGTTTTATCTCTGTTTACAGTCGCGGTTACTGCACCATGTACTTGACGACACACGATAAACAGGACTTCTATAAACACCTGTATTTATAGACTTTGTTTTATCTCTGTTTACAGTCGCGGTTACGGCACCATGTACTTGACGACACACGATAAACAGGACTTCTATAAACACCTGTATTTATAGACTTTGTTTTATCTCTGTTTACAGTCGCGGTTACGGCACCATGTACTTGACGACACACGATAAACAGGACTTCTATAAACACCTGTATTTATAGACTTTGTTTTATCTCTGTTTACAGTCGCGGTTACGGCACCATGTACTTGACGACACACGATAAACAGGACTTCTATAAACACCTGTATTTATAGACTATGTTTTATCTCTGTTTACAGCCGCGGTTACAGCACCATGTACTTGACGACACACGATAAACAGGACTTCTATAAACACCTGTATTTATAGACTTTGTTTTATCTCTGTTTACAGCCGCGGTTACTGCACCATGTACTTGACGACACACGATAAACAGGACTTCTATAAACACCTGTATTTATAGACTTTGTTTTATCTCTGTTTACAGTCGCGGTTACTGCACCATGTACTTGACGACACACGATAAACAGTACTTCTATAAACACCTGTATTTATAGACTATGTTTTATCTCTGTTTACAGTCGCGGTTACAGCACCATGTACTTGACGACACATGATAAACAGGACTTCTATAAACACCTGTATTTATAGACTTTGTTTTATCTCTGTTTACAGTGGTGGTTACTGCACCATGTACTAGACGACACACGATAAACAGGACTTCTATAAACACCTGTATTTATAGACTATGTTTTATCTCTGTTTACAGCCGCGGTTACGGCACCATGTACTTGACGACACAAGATAAACAGGACTTATATAAACACCTGTATTTATAGACTTTGTTTTATCTCTGTTTACAGTTGCGGTTACTGCACCATGTACTTGACGACACACGATAAACAGGACTTCTATAAACACCTAAACTACAACTTCTGTGATCCAGTCATCAGCTTTGGTGCAGATCCGAAACTTATACCAGACTGTTTAGTAAGGTTTAGCTTTTCCCTTTGATATTGGTATCAAATTTATAAATTTCTTCTATCATTGTTTAATTATGATGAATGGTTTAGGTATAATGGTCATTGTATTGATGATCTTATAGACTAAGGTACCGTTCCCTGTAGATGGTACTTACCATGGTATTGATGATCTTTTAGACTAAGGTACAGTTCCCTGTATATGTTCCTGACCATTGTATTGATGATCTTATAGACTAAGGTACCGTTCCCTGTAGATGGTACTTACCATGGTATTGATGATCTTTTAGACTAAGGAACAGTTCCCTGTATATGTTACTTACCATTGTATTGATGATCTTATAGACTAAGGTATAGTTCCCTGTAGGTGGTACTTACCATTGTATTGATGATCTTATAGACTAAGGTACAGTTCCCTGTAGATGTTACTAACCATTGTATTGATGATCTTATAGACTAAGGTAAAGTTCCCTGTAGATGTTCCTGCCCTTTGTATTGCTGATCTTATAGACTAAGGTACAGTTCCCTGTATATGTTCCTGACCATTGTATTGATGATCTTATAGACTAAGGTAAAGTTCCCTGTAGATGTTCCTGCCCTTTGTATTGCTGATCTTATAGACTAAGGTACAGTTCCCTGTAGAGGTTACTTACCATTGTATTGATGATCTTATAGACTAAGTTACAGTTCCCTGTAGATGTTACTTACTATGTATTGATGAGCTTATAGACTAAGGTACCGTTCCCTGTAGATGGTACTTACTATGTATTGATGATCGTATAGACTAAGGTACCGTTCCCTGTAGATGGTACTTACCATGGTATTGATGATCTTTTAGACTAAGGAACAGTTCCCTGTATATGTTACTTACCATTGTATTGATGATCTTATATACTAAGGTACAGTTCCCTGTAGATGGTACTTACTATGTATTGATGATCTTATAGACTAAGGTATAGTTCCCTGTAGGTGGTACTTACCATTGTATTGATGATTTTATAGACTAAGGTACAGTTCCCTGTAGATGTTACTTACCATGGTATTGATGATCTTATAGACTAAGGTGTAGTTCCCTGTAGATGGTACTTACCATTGTATTGATGATCTTTTAGACTAAGGTACAGTTCCCTGTATATGTTACTTTCCATTGTATTGATGATCTTATAGACTAAGGTAAAGTTCCCTGTAGATGTTCCTGCCCTTTGTATTGCTGATCTTATAGACTAAGGTACAGTTCCCTGTATATGGTACTTACTATGTATTGATGATCTTATAGACTAAGGTACAGTTCCCTGTATATGTTACTTACCATGGTATTGATGATCTTATAGACTAAGGTACAGTTGCCTGTAGATGGTACTTACCATTGTATTGATGATTTTATAGACTAAGGTACAGTTCCCTGTAGATGTTCCTGACCATTCTATTGATGATCTTATAGACTAAGGTACAGTTCCCTGGAGATGTTACTTACCATTGTATTGATGATCTTATAGACTAAGTTACAGTTCCCTGTAGATGTTACTTACTATGTATTGATGATCTTATAGACTAAGGTACAGTTCCTGTAGATGTTAATCACTTTCCACTCTATAAATCAGTGTTATGATGTCCATGTCATACACAAAGCACGCGAGTATTAATATTTGGGTTTGGTTTATATTGTGTAACTGTTAGCAGGATGAATCAGTTTTACAGTTAACAAAAGGAGATGATTCTTATTATATTTTTAGCTCACCTGGCCCGAAGGGCCATGTGAGCGTATGCCGTACTGCGGCGTCCATAGTCCGTCGTCTGTCCGTCAACTTTTTCTTTTGAACGACTTTTGGCCAGTAGGTACCTGGGATGGAGTGCTATAAAGTTTCCTCATTAAAATGACTTTGACCTACTTTCAAGGTCACAGCGGTCAAATATGTGAAAAATTTCAAACAACAATATCCTAAGAACTATTTGAACTACAGTCATGATACTCGGGTATGTTATGTAGACCAGCAGTGCAATTTTTTTTTTAATTACAGTTATGAGGTCAAAGGTCAACTTTAAATGCTAGTCAGGGGTCAAATGTCAACTTTGGTTAAAAGATTTAACAATCTTCTTCTCAAGTTCCATTAGGCCCAGGGTCATGATATTTGGGCAGTAGGTACCTGGGATTGATTGCTATAAAGTTTCCTCATTAAAACGACCTTGACCTACTTTCAAGGTCACTGGGGTCAAATATGTTAAAAACTTCCTAAGAACCATTTGGACTAGAGTCATGATACTTGGGTATGTTATGTAGACCAGCTGTGTGAATTGTTTTCTTTATTACAGTAATGAGATCAAAGGTCAACTTTAAGTGCAAGTCGGAAGTCAAAGGTCAATATGGGTTAAAAGCTTTAAAATTGAAATTTCAAGTTTCAAACAACAATATCTTCAGAACCATTTAAGAGATGTTAAGATGTCTTGTGTTCTAGTTACCAAATTTGGTCTGAAGTTACCTATATGTCAATTTCATGTAACAAAAGAAACAGGTGAGTGATACAGGCCCTCTGGGCCTCTTGTTTTAAAAAGGTTTTTATCATATATATTTTTTCATGTCAAGGATACATTTTAAGGTTTTTGTGTTTTCTTTTAAATTGTGATTTATGGTTGGAAAAAGTATTTTAATGAAATGAAATAGTAAAATGTTGTTTTTTTATCTTTTTTTTTTATCCTTATACATTATAATATAATACTAATGATATTTCAGTGTTCTGTTATAACAACTGCTGGCCATAATTTGTTTTTAATAAGAACTCCTTTTTTGTTATTCAGATAAAACAGCTGACAGCTACAACTTTGAGACCTCAGGAAAAGGAACAAGAAACATCAGACAAACAGAATAATGCGTTATCAGAGTTACACCAGACAAACCTACCATCCCCATCCCCACCCCCTCCACCTCCTCCTACTACTGCCCCACTACCTCCACCTCCTCCTCCACCTCCTTCTTATGCCCCACTACCTCCACCACCCCCTCCTACTACGGCGAAAACTGTGCTGGGTAAACCAGAGATTGTGAAATGGGACCCTAGAAATATATCCTGGATGAGGAAGGATCTAAGTTGATACCCAAAATGTGTTGATAACCTGAATGAGTATTGCTTTGGTGAATCAGGAGGTAAAATAGATAATTAGTAATAATAATTTTTGAGGTTCTTATATACCGCTTTATCACAACCTAGTTTGTAGGTTGTCTCAAAGCGGTTCACAAATTATTATCCATGGTCATAGGGCCTTTGTAACCAGCCAGTACCTTTCTCAACTCCCTGGGTATTATACAGCCGGAGCTGCCATTTCGGCGCTAACAGCTAGCATTCAACAGTTCTAGCACTGCCCAACCACGTACTCATTTACAGCTGAGAAGACTGGAACAAGCGGAGTAAAGTATCTTGCTCAAAGATACAACACAGTGTCTGCCGAGACTTGAACCCGCAACCCTTTAGTTACGAACCTGGTGTCATACCACTAGACTACCGTGCCTTCTGATGTGATATTTCAGACTGCTTTGCTTCTATATAAGTCTAACAACCCCTGTATTACTGTTCTGACACCAATCTATGAGTACAGTGATGATGTGTATGAATATTACTGATTTGTGTAATAACTAGTCATATTGTAACCCTGTCAAAATTCCAAGAACAATATTCTATGTTAGTGTATAATTAGGAAATTGAGATCTGGTTACACTTTGTATCTGCAAGAACATGCCTGTAACATTATTAAGTAGTCTGCTTTATACCGCTATATTGTTTTTGTTCTGTATTGTATTTTGTATCTATGGGCGATACCCTGTCCCAATTGTGCTGTTTCAGTGCTCATCAGTATGTAAAGGAATGTTTATCATATTGCCTGTTGCCATTGTTGTAAGAACAGTTTGGTATTATATTTTCAAGTTAAGAGTCCCTTCTTTAATCTGGATTACTGTGTTGAACTTTAATCTAGTGTATATGAAAGATAACGAGGAAGTGCTGACTTGATATGTAAGACACTAGTCCCGTTAGCCTACTGATTTTAGTCTCTAAACCTCTTTTTTGCCTTCTTTTTGTGTAATTTGATTTAGATCGCCAAGAAGAACAATTCACCAAAATACGGTTTCCCTGCTACTGTAAACCAGGTGTTTTTTTTACCACAGTTAAGTTTCACCTTTTTCTACCTCTGTAGTGAGGGAAAATTTATCCTGGCAGCAAATACTATTAGTATGCAACATACAGAGAAATTATATATCAAGGGCAAAGTTAACAGTGGGAAAATGTGGATTGTACTAGTGAAAGGTGAGAGTTTGACTGAGCTTCAGTTTCTCAGTATACATTATTTGCCCTTTGATGATTCAGAGGCTATTTCATTTTCTCATAGGCACATGGGCCTGGCACAGATCCCTACCTCTATGGTAGCAGTGTACAGTAGCGTACGATGGCCATGGGTTATATTTTTATACAATGAACAACCCCTGTAATATTACATGTATAAAAAAAATAAAAAAAATCAGCACTAAAATTGGCATGTATATGATGAAGTGGACTATGTGGGCTTAATAATTTTAAAACAAAAAATCGAATTTGGTTTGAGACTAAAGTTTTGGGCATTTACAAATCTGTGTATACACAACAAAAACTAGCTTTTCATGTAGTCTATTTTTGTAATCAGAACATGTGTAAATATTGTGAAAAATCCACTGGAATGACATATGCCAAAACGTGAGTATTTCTGTTACCGGGTAGGCGATATTAAATTTCAGACAGGTTTTAAGAAAAGAAAAAAAACCTTGAGGGGTCAAATTATGGGTTAAAAATAATATTAATTTGTATTTTTTGTTGTTTTTTTGATGTGGTAACCATGGTTTTCACAAGTCCCAAATTTGGGGAAAACAGTTTTTGAAAAAAAGTTCAGTCTTCTAAACAAAATGTATACAAAATGTGTGCTGTGCAGGTTGAATTCACTATCCATGTTTATCTGAGACATGCCCTTTATTTTTAGAATCAGGCCATTTCTACTGTACTCTGCTACCTATGTGGTCTGTATTATACAAATGCATATACTGCATATGGGCCATGGGATAAGGAAAGTGCCATGACCCTGTGCTTGTAGATTTTTTACGCCATTGTTTGTGGTTTGGTATCCTCAGACATTTCAAAATAAATCTGGAAATATGTCAAAAACATTTGGTCAAGATTGATTTTCATTATTCAAATTTTAGAGTATGTTCATGTCATGTATTATCTGCAGAATGCTTTCTGTTACGACATAACATTCTATTAAGTCTTCATGTGAAGTGTTCAATAAAATCAGTAGAACAAATACACACATTTGATGTCAAGGGTTTTATTTCATTTCATAAACAAAACTATGCAAATTCTTCTAACAAGAATGTGTATTCTGCATTTTACTTTTGTAAACATATGGAATTGTAAACATTATTAAATAAACGATGCCACATTGATTCTTTATTTTTAATTTTTATACTCTAAATTATCTCAAAGTAGATATCAAACAAAGATGTCATTATTCATCCTTAGTATGAATATCGAATGAATATCGATTTCAGTAATACAAAGGTGAAAGCATTATTATATAATTTCGCAAAGTATTGCATTACACCATAATACTTGCTCGGAATGACAACAGCACTAATACGAGGTATTTGACAAAAATATATATTCTGACACTTGTCATAGTACAAAAGTGTACAAAAATAAAATGCCTACATGGTTATATTATGTAACAGGAGATAGAAAACGATGTGTGGCCAGATCGGGGTTCAAACCCATGAGCCTCTAAACTCTACCAATTGAGCTACCTGGTTGCCAACCATCAACCGAGTCCAGTTCCACTACAATCATATACACTCCAGTTTACTGATGACGATTTTACACAACCTGGTACTTGTTTGACTCCAAATATATCCAACATGCTACAATGTTTTCATCAATGAACTTGTCTCATTTTTAACCCTTTTAAGTCCAACCTACTTAAATATTGAAAAACCTGAACGAGAGTATTGCATTTTAGAAACAGTTCTTTAAACCAGTTAATTTGTGTCGAAGTTATACAGGAATATTTAACTATTTTGTATCCAGATACAGTTTTTATACATTTTAAGGCTCTAATAATATGATAGGCTAGTACATCCATCAAGAGAAAATTTGCTGTATCTATCTACTATTATAGCACTACAGAAACAAGGCTAACATCTGGTACCTTGTATAGAATACATATCAGGAGTATTTATAAATCATCTAAAGACTTCCATTTAGCTGAGAGCAAATACATGAACATCTAAGATATATACCAATTAATTCAATAATTTAAGCATATAGTTTTAATGAATATTAAACCCAGTGTAGAACTGCTTGGAAACGAGATTCATTAAAATCAGAAAAGTATAAGTTTGTCTATTCTACAAAATCTCCATACTGGCAAGTTTGTCACTTACGGTATATGGCTACCCATACTCTTTTGTTGAAATTTGATCTCTTTTTCCAGTTCATACAAATGGGGGTCCTCCCTACCTGGTGCTATAGACCTCATGGCTTGAGCGAGATTCAATACATAGTCAACATTTTTTCCACTCGGACCAACAGACACAATCACTTGTTTGGCAATCTCATCAATAGGAGCAGGTCCCAAGTAATTAAAATTTTCTTCTGTGGCTAGATACAACTGAAGATCTATTGGTTGTTCCTGTGTATTCTCAGGATGAAACTTGACCATGGCTAGAGTGTAACCTTCTTTCTCTCTGAAGTCCAAGTGCTGTCTGACCTTACTCTCCTCCTCCACAGAGATCTCATAGGCCACACCCCAGACTTTCTCCTTCAAGAAGAAATTGCATGAGTTTTTCATAAAAACAATGATTGAATTATCAAAAATTGTTGTCTCAAACCCAGATTTTAAAAGTATTCTTGTAAATATATCGGGCCCTATTTGGCCCCATATGTAGTCAAATATTTAAAAAGTAATCATACTTTTTAAATCTTTATTATAAATACCTTTGACTCTTCTGAAGCCTTCACAAGGGTTACTACTCGACCAGGCTGAAATAGATTGGATACATATTCTTTAAGTGTTGATGAAAACAACATAGTACTGGTTGTTGGTTATTATGGAAAGTTCAGAACCTCTTTGTTACTAGAAAAATAATCAAAATGCTTCATATCTTTTAACTTGTAAAATATTAATAGAAATCAACAGGAGACCATCACACCAAGAGTTCATATGAATATTAATTTGAATAAAGATTTCCATTTTAGCTATTAGTTAAAGACATGTGCATCATGTTAATTACTGTCACAGGTTCACTTCTTACATTAATACTAGACAATAGTCACCTTGCCTGGCACACCCCTGTGGTCTGTGCTCCCCTGCCAGAACCTGCGTTGGTAGCCTTCGATGTAGCCAACTAGTTTACGTTTAAAGGGGAAGTCTACCTTCCAGATGAGTGAACCGTATCCGTACACCCACATCCCGACAAGAGAGACAATAATCACAGTATGTCAGAATCTCGTTGTGTTTCCATTCCACCTTTTCACCAACCGGATGTTGACATTTCTTAGTTGTCGCTTACATACTTGCAAATCTACTTTCGTTTTAGAGTTAGGTACCATTGGTACGTTTAGAATTCCATGAAACTTGAAATTATAGAAATTACGGATATATTCTGAATATGGCATATTTTGAAAATGTTCTAAAAAGTGGTACACTTGATTTGTGCCATCCCGGCGTCAGTGCATACAGTTCGATATTTCTGTTGGTCAAAGGCACTAGCCACGTTACGTCTGTCAATACGCGTTACATGTATAAGTTTGGTAGGTGACGTGATGGTATGTGTATCACCAGAGATGACTACATTGTAAAAGAAAATTTAGTTAATATTTTCATTTTCCATTATATACTAAATAAAGGATGTTTTTACGGACTGCATGCTAAATTGCTTTTAGTAACACTTTGCTGATTACCCAAACTTTGATTGTCCCGATTATTGAGCGACATTCTATAAGTTCATAAATGCCGACTTTGGGAAATATGGGCAGTTATCCGCCACAGCTTTTTAGCTGGTGAAAAAGAACTGTAATTGTTCGCCTGGTCTAAAAGTACGTGTTTCCTTAATCGTTGACACCCGAATTTCTCTCAAATACGTCATTTGATTGTGGTTTCGCAGGTACCGTACCAACTCGTGCCGCTACTAACTAGCATTGGAGAAAACAAACTCGATCTTCCCAAATTGCAACATTTGGGCCCTTATCTTATCTCTTCTTTCTTACATACTCTTTCCTGTTCTGACTGTATGTTGTCCACTTGATATTTTCTGATTCAACTTCTTTCATGATAAAGCCGTATACTTATGTTTTATTGAATTTTAATAGAGGTTTTCTTGAAATTGTAGGTTACATGCATAATTGGTCCCAGGTAAAAATCACACGCTTAAATAACCGTTAGTACGATTTTTCAGATGGGGCCTATAATTGGTAACAGACAAGGGCTCTGTCAATGATGTAAGACCAGGGCCATTCCGGGTTAACAACCTTGAGTGATGCGATGGTATGCAAGTGAACTCAAGAACTTGGATCCATCAAGCGCCAGTTATTGCGAGGGTCTACTCCGGAAGTCTCCTACACCACTCCGTGGTGTTGTGAAGCATCTCGTCGGAAACGTGGTTTCATCAATTACTAGTATAAGCTCGAAATGTGAAACAAAGTCGCACCTGGACAAGAATTGATTCTAAACCATTACATAATGAAATCAAGTTTTTAATGAAAAGTCATAGTCACTTCAAAACCGAAACATTATATGAAGGCTCCGCTGATTTTCAATATTTCTTAACATTTTTTTCGCGATTTTTACGTTGAAAGCTTATTAATATATATCTGTAGTATACGAATAACATGATATTTTGAAGTGATTTCGTTGCGATGTAGTATTTTTAACCTCCGTTCTTGAAGGACTGTAAGTTTTGTCTTTATTTGGTATATGATTGGTTATATTATTTTAACCTGTTTTGAAACTGGAAATAAATCTACAACGTTTTATACGTTTAAATATCTTACTATTTTCGAAAATCAAACGGAATCCATTTTTAAATCGAAAGTTTTCACTCTATAGCCATCTTTGATACGGTAAAAGTACTTATTTTAGCAGTCACATATTTTAGCGTATTAACTAACTTTAACCGGTTAGCGCATCGATGAATTGGCGCACTCACAAGATATGCAATAAAACAATATACATGCATACAGAAATTTCAGTTAGCGCAGTCATATATGAGTGCCATGTTTAAAGAGCAAAACGCGCTAAAATTAGAATACCGCTAAAATATGTACGTTAACAGTATAATAGTTGTATGCATTAGATTATGTGTCTCACTGTAAAGTTCATACTATATTGTATGTGTTTTGAGCTTAAAAGTATATTAATAAAGGGGTTTCATATATATTCCATCCTCGAAAATCAAACCACTTCATTTCAACCAAAAGTGGCTGGATTTTGAAATATCAATCTGCCACACAAACTCCACCCCCTTGAAACTCGCTGAACAGTGTGACAACTGGCTGGAATACTCAGTCAGTTTTAAAGTTGATGATACATGTTTATGTAAGTAACAGAATTTGTTTTCTTAAATGGTACTGTACTATAAACGTATTTGATCACGAAAAAATGTAACAAAAAAAATACAAAAATACTAAACACATGTATAAATTATTGAATATTTTTACTATTGCTGTTTTTTACAAACGTATCTTCAAATGGAGGTTGTGGAAGAGGCAATGGTAAAATTATTGTTAATAACCAATATTTTCCGAAAACATCTTTCAGATTATCAATTTTAGATTTAGAAAATTTTCCAGAGCCAATCGACGTCGCTTCATGTGTCGTCTGTCCGGCCACAGTGATTTGTAACTGCCAAAACCACAATCCGGCGGCTATAAGTCCAGCAGTAATACAGGCGTACATGAGAAACACTAAGAATATATAGCCAAACTCGATGGGAACATTGGTGGCTAGTTTTCCAATCATGTCCACCAACAGGAATATAAATGTCTGGGGACCATTAAATGTGACGTCATACAGCTTCTTTAGATGTAGCACAATCAGAAACATTCCATAGAACGTGCCGATCATCATGTAGAAACAGTACATAACGAAGTACTTTTGATTGAAGTAGCCGACACACACTGTCATGAAGAAACAGTGGTGGTCGCGCTTTAGGATACACGTTTGGCACAAAACGCAGTGGTGTGATCTGGGAGGAGGAATCACGTTACAAGTGTCACAAAACGTCGGTTCGTTGTCGACTTTGTCATTACCTCCGTCCTTTCCTTTGCCTTTCATTTCCAAATATTTGTCCTTGATGCTCTCTTTGTCTGCACTCTTTGCCTCACCTGCTTTTCGTTTCTTTACCATACTGGCTCCCTTTTTCGTAGTCTGTTTCATGGTGTTGCTATTATTCATGGTAGATATTGTCTGAGAATCTTTGCTATTCAACCTAGATTGTCCCGCGTCTTTACTCGGCTTAGTCATCCGGTCTCCCGCGCCAACGCTCGATGTCGATGTCATATAGTCTTTGGATGTCATCTCAACCGCACGTTTGATACTGGTATCGGTGAAGACGCACAGAACGAAGTTACCGACAGCATTGAGGAAGGTAAATAAAATAAAGAGCTTATGTTTGCGTATCCGATCCTTGTCACCCATGAAGATGTCGGGTAGTATTTCTGACCAACAGACCACAGTGACGAGAACGGTCATGAACGCAAAGTAGAAACAAAAGAACAAGTTTCCAGCCGCCATCAGTCGAATCCTGAATGGAACACTCCATCCAAAGAGTAGACGCATGGACACCATGATGATCTCGTGTGTTGATACTTGTCACAATAACACCGGTGATACACCTATCCTAACTCAAACATGAAGTTGTACTAGCACATCCAGGCAAAACCGTTATACGAATAGTGACCCATAATCTCTTAAGCAGATCAGCATTAGCGATACGAAACGTTTGTGTTCGAACTTATACTGACACATATGGCCGATGTTTACAGGTAAACTTATACAGTTCATGTCGTCTACACACACACACACACACACACACAGGTACAACTAGTCTGGCCGATCGATAATGTAAGATTTGAAACAACCAGTAACGCTACATACTGCCTGGTTCGTTGAGGACAACGTCATGCATTGCTACTTCATTACGTTTTAATTATAAAACGAGTATACGTCCTGTCACTGATAACGAATCCTCGAAGCATATCTATGACCCTACAAGTTTACATTGAAAAAGAATAGAAGTACAGGTGTTGATCAACAGTTGATAAAATTGTCAACACCGAGCTCCCGTATTTGATTAAACCTTACCTGGCTTGTGGAGCCGTTAACTTTCCTTTTTTTATTACATTTTCAAAAAAAGTGCCATACAATATTTGTACGGGGCTTGTCAAATTGTGGTCTATCTTTTTCTGTAATGCAGACACTTTAATTCATATTATTAAATTTAAAAATTACATACTTAGACATTCCCTTAATTCCTCTATATAAGTTAATTGGTGTGATGACACGTAATACCCAAAATGTTATTACTTTCCTGTGATGTCTTCAATTCTTAATTAGAACGAAAAATTAATCGGTAATGGTATTTATATCAAATTTGGTTTGTTTAAGTCCAGGAACCCCTCCCCCGCCAACCCCCAACCCCCATTTACTAATATAACACATTAATGATTGTAACTCCTTTGCTATACCTGTTCATGTTTTATATCAGTAATAAAATACATTATTTACAAATGCTATACAAGTGCAGTATTGGTTGTGTACACGACTCATACTGTTATTAACTATCGTTATTAAAGCCTGTGTTATAATAATACACCTAATTAAATGATTGAGGATACATAATTTGTGTATCAAAATAAAAATAAACATCAATATATGATTATAAATTTTAATAAAATTGACAATCAAAATCAGTACATGCGATATCTTATTATTTTAGACAATTTCTCGTAATAACATATATTAAATACAAATATCTACCTGCTAGTATTGTATTGTATTGTTTATTCACTATCAGCCTTACGGCCCATAAGCATTACAGCATAATACAGAGTAATTAATGTGTACATGTACAATAAGGGTGTCGAAAACATTACACAAATATTGAATAACATGTAACATAACCTACATTGTACAAGACAAGCTGATTTGATAGATGGCCGACAGTTGTACGCACATGAGAATACAAATGACAAAAGAAAAATATTAATGAGATGATTAATTGAAGTAATGTATATGATTGAAAGATTGGAAGAATCTCAATCAAATAAAGTAAGAAGTAATCAGTTTTTATCTGGAGATAAAAAGAAAAAGCATGCACATGATAATTAAACAATGCACATTATGTCGAGCGTAATAGTAAACTTGATTGTAAATATTTACCTAAATGACAAAGTTCTTTCCTATTACGAACTGCTAGCAACTGTACAAGTTTATAGGACGACGGACGGTTCCAATAATATTTTGATAAATTTTTTACGTAAAGTTGCGTATAGAGGACAAATTAAAATGAAATGAAATTCATCTTCTATTTGATTTTGGTTACAATGTAGACAAATTCTATGGGCCCTTGGGGTATTACAATATCTGCCTTCTTCTATGCGTAAACGATGGGATGACATTCGAAACTTGGAAATAAGCCTAAGATAAACGACAGGAATTGATTTTGTTAAATTATATTGTAAGGTAAACGAGTCAAGCAAGAATTTGTACAGATAACATATAGTATATACACTATATAGGGTACACTTAGATTTATTCCTACGATACCTCTCTTGTAACAACAAGCCAGCAACAAGATAACAAGTACGTAAGCACGTGACAGTATGATTACACACAGCTTTAAAACATGTATACGGACATAAGATATCTATGTTGATTTACTGATAAATTTACATGTATAAACAAATAACCATCTACATCGACAATTTTAGAATTGCCAGTGGGTTCATGATAAGAAAAAAATAAAATAAAATAACTCCGTCTCCGAGTAGGACAAGAAAACCTAGCAAATTTATAACTTGGCCCTTGTGAACCATTTCATCTCAACAAACTCTTTATTGTCAGATTGCATAGTCAGATAGATTGAATAACAGGCAAGCATGTGTAAAGTTTTCTCCACGGGTGACCAATGTTTTAGATTAATTTCAGAAACAATTTAAAATTAACTAAGAACTGAATCATAGGGTTAAAGTAACAGAACAAACAAGTAAGATAGCTTGCAGCTGTAAACAAATACCAAAAACATTACTAAGGACACCATGGAATACAGACTCTCCGTGAGTACGATGAAAAGATACCATTAAACATATACACATACGACAAAGTAAAAGTAAAAAGTCAACGTGTAAATACAATGCGTAGGTCGTTGATACTTTTGGTTGCACCACATTTACTGGTATTCTTATTTGCACCACATTTACTAGTATACTTATTTGCACCACATTTACTAGTATACTTATTTGCACCACATTACCTAGTATACTTAGTTGCACCACATTTTCTAGTATACTTATTTCAAAATGATAATAGGAATATCAGAGAGCTGTAACAAAACAACATGCATGCTCAAATAAGGACTCACTCACCATTCCACCTTACTGATTCAGTGTAGATAAATCATGATAATAATGGTAACATTTACAAAGTCGATGAAATTAATCCATTTCATATATACCATTAACCAAGCAAATATAAAGCAGTTAAGAATCAAAACGTAATATACGTTATCAGAGAACAAATGTTTAAGGTTAGGAATATTTTAAACATATGTGTTATTAACACAAATGTCTGAATTGATTGGGAACATAAAAAAAGGAGAAAACAATGAGTAAAAAACAAAAATAATTTCGGAATAATACAGCAGGCTACTAATAGTAATACTAAGGGACATGTATGTGATTAAATTTTAACAAACCTAAAATATTAGATCTTGTGCTATTTCATTATGTAGCAAAATGTTACATACATTATGTACGTCTTTTCGAATCCATGAAAGGGCTCAATGTGCAAGGTGGCGTTTTCTTGTCCCCTCACCTACTATAGTCATTGGGAGAATGGCATTGCATTTGATTATGAAATGCAGTCTATGGAACACCTTCTCAGGAGGGTGTTCAATACATGTATTGTAACATGTAATTTATGTTATGTCGTACATGTATTTTTTTATGTTATGTCGTTTTAATAAAAACGGCCATTTTCAATCATTATGTCTTTCTGGTTTTTATTGACTATCGTACTATTACATAGCTTNCTACTATAGTCATTAGGAGAATGGCATTGCATTTGATTATGAAATGCAGTCTATGGAACACCTTCTCAGGAGGGTGTTCAATACATGTATTGTAACATGTATTTTATGTTATGTCGTACATGTATTTTTATGTTATGTCGTTTTAATAAAAACGGCCATTTTCAATCATTATGTCTTTCTGGTTTTTATTGACTATCGTACTATTACATAGCTTGCTGCTTGACTGATAGGTGCGAACCATTCAACATAAATACATATATGCTGTTACACAGAAATCACAGTTAACACAAATTCGAGAGGTGATTTTACCAGAATTTCTGCATAAAGCATACATGTGGCGAATTATCAGCACAAATATTGGTTTGGCTGATCGAGAAATGTCTTAATAATGTTCGCTACCTGCTGAAGCACGCCTTTATCTTTGCTGGAGAGCAGATTAACCCCGGTATGGAAGTACAACAACAGATTTCCCCTCTGAAGATAGCCGAGTAGACGATACGTCATTGACTTCACGCGAGTCTCCAGGAGCTCCTGCTGCCATTCGGTGTCAAAGGGATGATCCTCACACTCCCAGAACAGCACGTTCTTCAGATGGTATGATGTCAGACCCTTCTTGACACCTGGTTTACACCAGATATTTTCTTTCAAAGTCTTCAGGACACGAAGACTTTTCCTTCTGCATGTCCCATTTTCATCAATGCCCTCCACAAGCTCCTTTTCACATGCAGCGAAAGACAGTGTCCAATAAAATGGCGACTTGGCTACTTCATGTATTCCTACATCCTTTATACAGGAAATCTTTTCACTAGACGGCCATTTGGCCAACGGTCTTGGCCAATTGAAGTCACTTCTGAATTCCAGTTTAGATTCAATCATAGGACATAAATCGATGCTGATCGGATAAGCAGTATTCGGAAGTTTTACAGAGAGCGTAATGGCCGGTGAATCCGAAATCCGGTCTGTAGTGACACGACTTCTCAATTTGGGTTGGTTAACAGCCTCGCTTACAAGAGCTTTGAATCTTCTCTTTACTTTAATTGGCACTATATCGTTGTTGAATGTCAAACTTGCACCTCCATCCTCAAGTCCCTCAGATTCCCACTTAGCTTTTAGGCTTCCGATTTGAGTAAAACACTGACCAGCAGGGGGGCTTGGTAGAGGTAATATGCTACTCTCAACTTTGCGATTGACGTTGTCAAAACCATAGAACCTCGAATTGTTGTTTGCTATCCACGACAGTTTCCCCACATCGACGACCACACTGAAGTCAAACTCGCCAGCCCGCTTCACTTTGAGGTGAGTATGGTAGCTTCCAACCTTCACTGTTTGTATCATGAATCGTTTGTCTCTCTGATGAACATACCTTAATATATCATCCACCAGTGGTAACACCTCTTTTGTATTTTTTTCCGTTTCGTTACGCAGCATTTTCACATTTTCCTCATAATATTGGTTCAGAATTTTGTTATCCATGATTGTATTGTTCGTGCAACGTTTAAACTGCGCATGAGTGTGATCTCTCCCTTTATATTTGCTTGTCTTATCTTTTTATTTTTAGCTTCTTTTCGTTTCGGAAAACATGATGAAACAACTACTTTCGCTTTCGCAAATGATGTGATCATACATCGGTCTTTGGAATAAGAGTTGTAGATTCTTTGGCAGCCAGCTCAACATTTATTCTTATAAAATAAATGAAATATCTTATATATTGTATAAGATAACTCATATATATAAGATATCTCTCTTGTATATTATTATATAAGATATAAAACATCTTATATAATATGCACTGTATCTTTTATAATTTGATAAATTACAAGATCAGTATTGCTCCCTCAATACTAAATAAAGCATTTTGGTTCTGAGAATGTCTGGGTTTTATTTCCGTTTTAGGCGTATGATCACAGTAGTTTGGTCACATACAAAGTTAATGATATTACCAGAACATCAATTCAGGAACATTGAAACATTTAAAAACTGTTGACAATTAAAGTAACTAGTGATAATTTGTCCAAATAAGATATCTTCCAAGGTAAATTAAGTATCCACATCCAGCAGTATTGTACTACTTTCTTACGATATGACACAAACAAGACGGCTGACGGCTCGAAAGTCGGTCACTCGATAAGCTATATTGTGTTAAAAAAAACCAGTAAACAAAATTTATGTATCACTTGACACTAGGGTGATGGTAACTCACAAGGTATCTCCATATCCTTATCAACAAAGCTCACAATGCGTTTTATCATTTCTTTAATAATAGTAGGCGGAATAGGCCATGCAGCAGCAGGTTTTGGGTTATATTTTAGCAACAACAGTTACCAGTGACGACAATATTATGAAAGAAACAGATAAATAAATACATGTACGTAACACAGACCTACAAAAAACAAAAGTTATCGAATCATTGTGTCAGTTATACCCCACAACAATTTATTCCAGAACGTCTTTGGACAAAGGGGCCTCAGGTTTGTATTCAGGGAGGGTTTGGCTTCCCTGGGGGCAGATGGGCGGGGTCTAATACGGGAAATAGGAGGTAGTCAAGTGGTAGGACGCCGGACTCGTGTGCTCCAATAGAAAAATAATTCAGCTAAACATCAATAACATCAAAGTCTGAACTCGAAATCCAACTTGTTAAAGCTCCATACAGCTGGAAAATGGACAACTATATCCTGAACTGTTACTGTGATCAAAAAGTATTGATGAAACGAGATGAAACTAAAAGGAACGTGGCGAAAGTGCTTACTCTTGTGGATGAGATTTTGAGATACGTTCATTCCCGGGACAGACGCTTCCTGATACAGCCCCTCAAGGTAGGCAGTTATAACACGCACCTGAAGGTGGAAAAAGCAGAAGAATTTGACTACAACGTCATCGTTGATGTCGGTAAGCTGGTCTGGGCACCTGGGAAAACAAGATACTATGGATTTAACAACACCGGGATAAAGCTGTGGAGAAAAAAGGATACGAGTTACCGGATACCCCAGTTGGTAAGTATTTTACTCAATATGAGAGCTTGAAGAAGCAATGGGAAGCTGAAGGACTTAACGACGGAGTTGCTAGTATGACATTCGATGATGACATAGTTCCAATCAAGGTAAAGAGGTGGTTCAAGTCGCTTGTTGGCGAGGCAGTTAATCAGCCAAAATACAGAAACCTGATAACAACAGACAGGATATCAAGTTCTCCTGCTACTACCCTGTCTGTGAAATTCCCGGACATTGACTACCCAATCAGCATTGATCTTTGCCCTATGATCGAATCTCAGCTGGAATTAAGGCCTGAATGCCACTGGCCTAGACCGAACAGTAAAAGGCCTTCCCAGCAAAAGAGGTCAGCCATAAGAAAAGTAGGTGTGAACGAAATTGCAAAAGAACCATTCAACTGGACACTTTCCTTTGCCGCATGTGAAAATGAACTTCTGGATGGAATTGACATTGGAGGAACATGTTGAAAGAAAAGTCAACGGATCATAAAGCGACTGAAAGAAGACGTATGGTGTCCACCAGGTTTGAAGTCAGAACTGACATCGTACCACCTGAAGAACGTGCTGTTCTGGGAGTGTGAGGATCATCCTTTTGACACCGAATGGCAGCAGGAACTCCTGGCGGCTCGCGTGAAGTCAATGACGTATCGTCTGCTCGCCTATATCCAGAGGGGCAATCTCCCGCTGTACTTCCATGACGGGGTCAATCTGTTTTCCAACAAAGATAAGGCTGTACTCCAAAAGGTAGTTAACAACATCAAGGCATTTCTTGAACAGCCAAAACCATATCTGTCTGAGTAATGTTGGCAGTTGTTGTTTGATATGTAACAACTATTTTTTTAAATAGTGTTCACATCGTTATAGAGCAGCAAAGTAATTCAGTTTCATGATAGTTGATATAAGCATATGTTATAGTATTAGCTTAATCATTATCTGGTAGTTCGCTAGGACAAGAGTTGATTCGGTAAACATGTAAAGTAAATACTTGTACAACGAATATATATATAGATAATGTTAGATACAATGAAATACATTGTACATATTTTAACGTTTTAGTGTCGCTGTTTTTTCAAATAAGATAACTAGTTGTAAAATATAGCAGTCAAAATACTAGTAATGTTAATGTACTTTTCTTAAGCATTGGTTATTGTTTTAATTTAAGTGTACATGGTATCATTGATTGGAAAACATTTGATTAAATATTTATTTTTTAAGATAACGAATTGTTTACTTTGTTTCGTTTTGGTTATTTATTCAAACTTGTCTACCGTTTTGTTGATCGTTGATGTGTGACCATGATAATATTGTGTCCTAACTATGAGAAGATAAGAGTAATTAGTATCAACTATTAGTAAAAATAAATGTGTAAAATGTGAAAATAAAGCATTGTTTAAATTAAAAGCATTTCAACGTATTGACTATCTAAATAGCCACTAAGTAACCCAATTACCTGTAAGTACGATCGTCAAATAAAATTATTCATAAAGGATGGATGGGTTTTAATTATACAAATTTCTCTATTTTAATTGAAACGGCTCTTTCTAACTATGACGGGTTTAACTGTTCTTCTCGTCATGAAAAACAATTTTGAACAAAACTTAATATTAAGAGTGTAATAGGACAATAGAGTTAAATATATAAAATCAAACATAACAAGTTTCATGTAATACTGCATATAGATGTAAACTCGAGCGCAGGAGAACTTTACAATTATATAGTATATGGCGTCCATTTTTCATGTAGCTTGTTAATGAGGTGACCATTGTTGTCATACGTGATAGCAAATCTGTAGTGTTTTACTGTGACAAATGACAAATCCTCATCTTCAATTATTAGACTGAAAACGAGTAATAATTAAGTTAAAAAGGAAAATTCCAGATCTGTATTAAGCCTAGGAACAATTATTTGTGTTTCATCGCAAGTATCGATGACTATTGCTGTTGACTTGAAAGAAGATGCCATTTAATCGGTTTTTAATTTAAAAAATTACTGAATGGCAGAGTTAAATTCGTGACTGTAAAGACAATTGAAGTGCAATTTCGGAGATACTGAGTTTTTATATTATAAATAAACTAGTACCAAAAATATCTCCACAATATCTTTTGTAGTATACAATAAGGTATTACTGGTTTGAGATGATGGTTGTGTCGTTTTTATGTGAAAGATGGTTTTCGAAAAGGTGCCTCACTTTTCATATTTTCTAGTGATTATTTTTGCTAAATCAAAACATTTCAAACTGTATTTTATTTTCAAACCAAAAGGGCACATGTTTCCATCTAGAAGACGGTGCATTGTATAAAAACAGTATAACGGAATCAAAAGTCGATTCGTGTGTGGGACTTACGTGGAAGCACTATAAACATCACGTGGTTCAATGTTAAATGTCAACGTTTGTTTGTCTGTTTGTTTGGGTTTAACGGCCCATCGACGGCTGTGGTCATTTAGGGCCATGGTGATTTATTTATTCATTTATTTTATTATTTTTAAACAAACATGCGAGAAGCGAAGATAAAATCAGATAAAAAGGTTCAAAGTATTCGCATTGTATGTGTAGATAATTGAAATAAACAGGGGGTTAAAATAATAAAAGAGATAACGAATAGATGATATGGACTATGTGATATATATAGGTAGCAGTGTACAGCAGCGTACGATGGCCATGGGCGATATTTTTGTATAATGAATAACCCCTGTAATATAGCATGTATCAAAATTGGCATATACATGATGAAGTGGACTATGTGGGCTTCATAATTTAAAAAAATAAAATTCGAATTTGGTTTGAGACTACAGTTTTGGGCATTTACAAATCTGTGTCTACACAACAAAAGCTAGCTTTTCATATAGTCTATTTTTGTACTCGGCACATGTGTAAATATTGTGAAATATCCACCGGAATGACCTATGCTGTTACCGAGTAGGCGATATTTAAGAAGTTTTAAGAAAAATAATTCTACTTGCGGGGGTCTAATTTGGGGTTAAAATCAGGATTGTTCGCATATTTTGGTGTTTTTTGATATGGTAACCATGGTTTTTACAAGTCCCAAATCTGGGGAAAACAGTTTTTGAAAAAAAATCATTCTTCTAAACAAAATGAAATCGGGCGCTTTATTTTTAGGGTCAAGCCATTTCTACTGTACACTGCTACCATAACGTCAAAGAGGGTAAGGTGGGTTAAGAGACGTCAGAGTCTATAGAATAGACCGATCCCTTTCAAATAGTTAAATAATGCCTTCGAGTAAACGGAACTGAAAAGAGTTTTCATATCCGGGACTCGAAAGTAGTTATCACGAATATGTTTAAAATCGGAACATTCTCTTAAAAAATGTTCCACTGTAAATGGAGTGTCACATGCGTGGCATGAAGGTGGATCTTCTCGTTTTAAAAGATACGAATGAGTAGGATATGTGTGCCCAGTACGGGGCCGAGAGAGCACAACTTCCTCTCTACTCTCCGACTGGGAACAGATATTTTAAGTTTCGGTTGTACTTTAAAAAGTTTGTTGCTGGTCTCGAGAGACCAGCGTTGCTGCCATTCATTTTGAATGGCTGTACGAATAATAGGTTTAAAATCTGTATATGGTTGTTTGATATATGTTTGTTCGATATTTAACGCATTTTTTCTTCCCTGTCAACAAATTCTTTGCCTTTATTTCCGACATGGCTCGGAATCCATAGTAAAGTTATTTTAGATTATTTTAAGATTCGAGATATTCGAAAAGCAAGGTTTTGTACGAGTGTGTTTTTTGGATCTCGTAACTGTAAACTGTGTAGGACAGATAGAGAGTCTGAACAAATGATTGCCGTTTTAAGGCGCTGCTCATCGATATGGTCGTGGACCAAACCAATGGCGCATGCTTCGGCAGAAAGGATGGAGGCGCTGTCTGGTAGTCGAACTGAAGTGGAAGAATTAGCAGTACAGCTGGCTGCTGCCACTTTCTCACCTTTTTTGGAACCAACAGTGGAAAGTTGTGTATGAGAAGGGTAATTCGAAATGCATTCCCGAAAGGAGGATTTGTGTTCTTCGAGCATAACACTTGATTTCCCTCGCTCATGTAATGTAAAGATAAAATCAGGTGTTTGAATGGTCTACGGAGGAACATCAGATATGTTAAATTCAGCTATGTCAGTCAGCTTTATGTTGAGTTCTTGCAGGAAATTTGAAATTCGGATACCAAATGTTGGCAGAAGTTTTGGGTTTTGCGTAAATATGTTTTGGTATTTTGGGTTGAATGCTTGGTCGAAAGCAGGATTTTTAGGGTTCGATTTTAATTGAGCTGCAAACCGTAATGCAAGTTTTTTTCCTTCTGTCATAAAGGGATGGTTCATTCGCTTCCACGTACAGGCTTTTTACAGGTGTTGTTCGAAAAGCTCCAAGGGCTAGACATAGCCCTTGGTTATGGATTGGGTCTAGCATAATTATGCAGGTAAGAACTGCACGCCGACCCGTAAACCATAGGACCATAACCCAGTTTTGTTCGAATAAGTGATCTGTATAGGCGCAAAAGCATCTCACGGTCCGCTCCCCAATCAGTATGAGAAAGGACTCGTATGATGTTTAACGCCTTAGAACACTTATCCTTCAGATACTTTATATGTGGTATGAAAGAGAGTTTCGAATCAAAAATGAGGCCGATAAATTTAGTCTGTTCAACAACAGGAATACTAGTGCCATCAAGTGTAAGATTTGGGTCATTGTGTGCTTTTCGTTTTTGACAGAAATGCATGCACACATTGTTGGATTTAGAGAATTTGAAGCCTTTTTCATCTGCCCAATTTTGTAGTTTGTTTAAACTCTGTTGAAGTTGTCGTTCTATCGTGTGCATGTTCTTAGATCTGTAACAGATCCAAGTCATCTACGAATAACGACCCTTCTGTTGACTGACCAAGACATTTGACTATATCATTGATTTTAAGACCAAACAGGGTGACTGATAGGATTCCACCCTGTGGGACTCCCAATGTCAACGTAAATATATCGACTGATTGCTGGATGTCCATATTTATATAAACACATTGCATAACAACAACGTGTTCTATGATGTTCTAGAAGTTTGAGGTATGACTTCAAAAATGAAACGTAACTCCCCAGTCTAAAATTAGCCACACACTCACACACACAGATACATGTATATATACATATACTGATTAGTACAATCACGCCAGTCCTCAACATATATATCGCTGTAACCTTTTTAATGAACATCGCAAACTGTTGTTGTTAATGAAATAAAATTACACATGCTATCATGAATTACAAAACATTTTAATAAGTAAGATAAGTTTTAGATTGCTACCTATTTAACTTCAATTTTGCATTCAGCGCGTTTATGTACATGCATTTCCCAGTTTACATTTTGTTCATCTGCCATCGTTGAAGAGTGTTACACTGATTTCCAAGAAAAGCGAACAGCAGAATAAATATTTGGTTGTCAAATATTTTAGAGCATATTTTTTGAAAAGCACAACAAAGGCCAAAACGAAATACACTGAGGACGATAGTCAAATGAAATTATTTAAGAAAGGATGGATGGATTACGACTACTGCTATAAAGCTTTCACTATTTTTACTGAAACGGCTGTTTTTGAATGTGACACTTCAACTGTTATCACGAAACAAAAAACATTAATTTAACAAAACGCAAACTATTTACATTGAGATTCATGTTAAGGGAGGAATAAGACAATATAATGAAATATCTAAAATAAAGCAGAACAGATTCAAGTAGCACTTAATATAAATGGCATAAAATCAACCGAAGGAAGGGAAATATTTAATGATTGTAAAATATAAGACGTCTAGTTTGTCATATAGTTAATTAGTGATGCGGCCGTTGTTGTCATAAGTGATGTAGCGGAATCTGTATTGTTTTACCGTTTTAATTCCTGGTGACAAATGAGAAGAAAAGTATGTCTGGTAATTTCTCACTTAAATAACGAGGCTTAATACTAAAAAAAAATCAAATATTTTCAAATATATCATTTTAGAACAAAAGGAAATATATGATCTGTGATATGCAAAAGAAGCACATATTGATGACTATGTTGATGAATAACAGAATTGCGGTGTAAAGTTCGACATTGAAGAGATAATTGAATGTGCAATTAAAGGGTTATTAAATTTATATATTTATGAATACACTAGCACACACAATGTATCTACGATATCGTTTGTAACTTACAATATGGTATTCCTGGTTGTAGATAATGGGTGGTTTCGTTTGTAGATGATAGATGAATTTCTAAAAAGTGCTTCGCCAAATTTGTTTAGCTTTTTTAGTGATTATTTTTCGCAATCGATCTTTTCTCAAATTGTATTTTTTTTTAAACCAAATGGGTACGCCTTTCAATCTAGAACACGATGTTTGGATAAATTCAGTAAAACGAAACCAAAAGTTCATGTGGGTCTCTCCTGGAAGTACTATAAACATCACGTGGTTCAATGTAAGATATAAACGTTAATATATCGACTGATTGCACGGTGTCCATATATAGAATTACATTGCACAACAACAACAACATGTGATGTAATGTTCTAGAAGTATGAGGTATGACTTCAAAGATAAAACGTAACTCCCCAGTCCCGAATTAGCCACGCATACAGACACAAACTGGTATATATATGCTCTGATAGGGATAAACACGCCAGTCCTCAACATAGACATCGCCAGTAAACTTGTTAACAAAGTTCCATACGGCTAGAAAATGGACAACAATACCCTGAACAGGTACTGTGATAAAAAAGTATTGATGAAACGAGATGAAACTAAAAGGAACGTAACGAAAGTGCTTCCTCTTGTGGATGAGATTTTGAGGTACGTTCATTCCCGGGACAGACGCTTCCTGATACAGCCCCTCAAGGTAGGCAGTTATAACACGCAGCTGAAGGTGGAAAAAGCGGATGAATTTGACTACAACGTCATCGTTGATGTCGGTAAGCTGGTTTGGGGACCTGGGAAAACAAGATACTATGGATTTAACAACACCAGGGATAAAGTGGTGGAGAAAAAAGGATACGCGCTTCCGGATCCTCCTGTTGGGCAGGGTTTTATTGAAATTGGGCGCCTTAAACAGCAATGGGAGGCTGACGGAATGAAGAGCATGACATGTGAAGATGACATAGTTCCAATCAAGGTAAAGAGGATATTCAAAGCTCTTGTTGGCGAGGCAGTTAATCAGCCAAAATACAGAAACCTGATTACAACAGACAGGATATCGAGTTCTCCTGCTACTACCCTGTCTGTGAAATTCCCGGACATTCACTACCCAATCAGCATTGATCTTTGCCCTATGATCGAATCTCAGGTAGAATTTAGATCCGAATTCCACTGGCCTAGACCGAACAGTGACTGGCCTTCGAAGCAGAAGAGATCAACCATAAAGAAAATAGGTGTGAATGACATAGCAAAAGAACCATTCTATTGGACATATTCTTTCGCCGCATGTGAAAAGGAACTTCTGGATGGAATTGACATTAAAGGAACATGTAGAAAGAAAAGTCAACGGATCATGAAGCGACTGAAAGACGACGTATGGTGTTCACCAGGTATGAAGTCAGAACTGACATCATACCACCTGAAGAACGTGCTGTTCTGGGAGTGTGAGGATCATCCTTTTGACACCGAATGGCAGCAGGAACTCATGGCGACTCGCGTGAAGTCAATGACGTATCGTCTGCTCGTCTATATCCAGAGGGGCATTTTCCCGTTGTACTTCCATACCGGTGTGAATCTGCTTTCCAACAAGGATAATGTTGTACTCCAAAAGGTAGCAAACAACATCCAGGCATTTCTCGATCAGCCAAAACCATATCTGTCTAAGTAATGTTTGCAGTTGTTAAAAAAAATTAGTTGTTTGATATGTAACAACTATTTTTTTAAATAGTGTTCGCATCTTTATAGAGCAGCAAAGTAATTCAGTTTCATGATAGTAAATATAAGCATATGTTATAGTATTAGCTTAATCATTATATCGTAGTTCGCTAGGACAAGAGTTTATTCGGTGAACATGTAAAGTAAATACTAGTACAACGAATGTGTATAGATAATGTTAGGTACAATGCAATACAATGTACATAATGTAACGATCATAATGTAAGATACATAGGAGGGAGCGTGGATGCCGTCAAGGGGGACCCTGTTTCTTCATATGTTTTTATCTTATGTGCTGAAATTTTATCTATTCTATTAAGAAATAATTCAGATATTAGCGGTAATGTTTTAAATAACAAAGAAATTCTTTTATCTCTGTTTGCTGATGATACTATTATGCCAGAATTTCAGGTCTTATAATGAATTTCACCAAGACCCAGGCAATCTGGATAGGCAGTGAAAAATATAGTAATAATGAATATACAACAGAGCACAATCTTTTGTGGGAAAGTACACGTTATAATTTGCCAGGCATTGAATATGATGTTGATTTACATAGAGTAGTTAAATTAAACTTTGATAAGAAACTTGTTAAACTTAAATCTCTCATAAGTTCGTGGGATAGAAGAAATCTAACTCCAATAGGTAAGATAACCATTATTAAAACATTGCTAATTTCACAATTTTATCATCTTTTTATAGCTCTTCCAAACCCTCATGACTCTTGTGTAAAAAAGGTTAATAACATATTATAAAAAAAATTGTGGTGCGGAAAGACTGATAAAGTTAAACGTGATGTTATAATTAAGTCATACGAACCTGGTGGTTTGAAAATGATTCATTCAAAGTCTTTCATAACAGCATTAAAGGCAACGCGGGTACGGAGGATCTATAAAGAAGATGCTAGTTGGACTTTCATTACTGAAAACTACATTGAAAAGTTCTCTTTAGCTAATTGTGGAATTCATCAATTGAAAATTATATGTGAAGAATGTAAAAATAAATTTTGGAAAAACGTTCTAGAAGCATGGTATCAAACAATAGTGTCGTCCAGTATATATAGTGAAAAAATATGTGAAAATCCTTTGTGGTATAATCACAATATCCAAATTAACAATAAGCCTGTTTTCTGTAAAGAGTGGTATAGAAAAGGAGTGCTTTTTATATATGATGTAATTAAAGAAGATGGTTCTTTTTATAATTTTGTAGAATTTCAACATAGATATGATATAAGGTCCATTTTTTTAACTTTTCACAGTACAATTAGTGCTATAAAACAGTTTATAAATAGTAAACAAGAAATCTTTGCTTTAGAAAAGAGTATTTGTTTACCTAATATACCTTTAAATCTTAAAATTATATGATGGAAGACTAAAGGGGCACAAGATATTTATGCTGTTTTATGCCAAAATGATACAAAACCCACGTCACAAAGGAAATGGTCTACGGTTTTTAACATTCAGGACAAATTATGGAAAAAGATTTATGCATGTCCTTTTAAAACTACTGTAGTACTAAATTAAGATGGCTTCAATACCGAATTAACCATAGAATCTTAACTACAAACACACTCCTACAAAAAATGGGAATTAACCAAAATTCAACTTGTACTTTTTGTAAAAGATTTCCAGAAACAATTGAACATCTATTTTGGGATTGTGGTAAAGTATGTGAAATTTTGAGAGAACTAAAACAATTGCTTGCAACCAGTAATATTGATTTGAATTTTGACAAACAGGAATTTATATTTGGACAATTCAGTTCAAAGGATGCTGATTTGATAGTGGATAATCTTATCCT